ATGACCATCGACACAGGTGATCAATCTTCCACAATCTCCAGGTACTGGGAATCTGAATAAAAATTTCATTATTATTTATTTTCACTTTCAGAGGTTTATCGTTTATTTATAACAGCTCTCAAGAATAACATGCTGGCTGTAAGATGAAAGAAAAAGAGAAAACAGTGTGTTTGTTAAGAAAGCTGATGGTAAAACAGAATAATCATAAAACAGATAATTTTCTCAGAGGTGGTTCAAACCAAAGGCGGACCGGTTTTTAATTTGCGACCATTGGGTATTTAAGAACTTTGCCTTCGTTTATTTTTAAAAACAACCCACGCGATATAGTTTTTAAGACAGGCCTGTCTAACTGCTAGAAGCGAAAGAGCCACTGCTCCCACTCTTACCGCTTCAGACTTCCCCCACCACCTAGTAGTGTTAGTAGTGGAGGAGCGGTTTCTAGCAGATGGGACTAGGAATACGCGTGAAATATTGGAAGAGTCGGGAAACCAACTGGAGGAGTGGGGGGAGCCGAGCGTGAGCTCCGTGGTAGGGGAAGGAGCCACGAGTGTCCCGCGGGCTGCAGGTTAGACAGGGTATGCATCGTTTATAATTCTTTCTTCGACAAGTTAAAGTAAACTAGAGCCAACCCTTTCTCGGCCAATTCCGGTTAGACCAAAAGTGGCAAAAAAAATTTTGGCCGTTCGTTGAGATTTTGACCCACTAAAGAATTTTTTTGATAACTTTTACCGTTTGGCCTGAACAAAAGTGACAAAGTCTAAATGTTATAGCCCCCTTCTCAAGATTTTCAATCTTACATACGAGTTGGCTAATAAGTATCAATTTCACTGCTACTTCAGTATCTCGGACTGTTGGGGATTTTATTTCAAATATTTTCAAAGTTATAAATAAATACCTGGGATAGGGCCAGAATTTGGCAGCCGCGCTATGGGAAGGCACTTTGTGAGGGCATTTGAATCCGACTATTTCCTCCGGATTACAGTAGGGTAGTAATTGATCAGGCCAGATGCAATTGTGGCTCTTTGCCTCGTAAACTAATCCAGCATCGCAATGTACTTCTTGTGGATGACCGTGGACGCATTTGATGTAAGTTGTACTGCATGTGTCGCTGATGGGGTACAGGCCAAATTGGTATTCGCAACCGGGGGTACTCAGTGGAGTGACTGAAAATAATTATTCTTAATTAAAGAAATAAAAAATGCATAAGGGCCAAATTTGAACAAGTGGCACATCTGGCTATTTTTCACAAACTTTTCATATAAATTCTCGTTTCCCGATGCGAATGTGTTAGGTATAAAAATGACGTCAGTAATTAGAGTTACTATGACTTTTTAAAAATAACCCTTCAATTAAAAAAAAGAGAAAGGTACAGAATTAAAAGTATTCTTCTGAATATCTACTAAAATCAGAGATGCTAATAATTAGTAGAACACTAATTAATTTTCTATTAGCAAATGATGCAATTCGGAGAAAAATAATGGTAGACGGCGGATTACGTAAATGATAAATAAAGAAAGAAATAAATGTAGCAGAACAAGTCGTTCGATTTACAGGAAAATTAAATACCAAGTGAGCAAAAACAGAATACACCGGTATAATTGAAGTAATTTGTGGCAGGACTTCATGATGGATGACAGTGACGTGACCTACTAAAGCACCGTAAATGTTACCGAAATTGCTTTACCGTGCAACTTTTACTTTCTTGCACGAATGTTGCGTATGCGCATCGTATCAAATTGATCTTTCTTTTCACCCCTTGAACGAACACTTCTGTCGATTGAAAGGATAAAAAGAAAATTACATTATATAATAAAACGTAAAGTTTCGTATACTTGTTTCTCAGCTACGACTTAACTATGATATCGATAACGATTATGAAGGGCGTAACGCGATATACTTACGGTCAGCCTTGCGATCACCGCATTTAACAGCCCAATTGTAGTTGCAATGTTGGTAGACAGCTCCGTGGCCGTCGAAGAGTAGTCCGTTCTCGCAGTATTCGAGGGTCAGGGTGCCATTTGTGCAGAGGAAGTAAGCGTTGCAGCTCTCAGGGTGGGGATACGCGTGCACCCCGTACGGGTCGGGACAGGGTGGTGCACCCAAAAGAGTAGTTCCTTCGACTGTATTTAAAAAGAAAATAAATAAATCAAACATTCTTGTGTAAACAACAAAGTATCTTTTAATTAAAATTCACACTCGAAGGTTAAAACGATTGGGAAAACCAGTTAGAATGAAGCGAGAATTTGAAAGGAAACGACGAATTCCCGCGTCGAATCATCGAAGCGAATCACGAAGCTACGATACTCGTGCATCATCGAATGGAAAGTTGTCGCTTGATTTTTTGCCCGAAGAAATGGTCGAGAAACGCGTAGACGCGGCCACAAATCGTCGGCAATCACGACCGATTGATCGCGCGATGATTTCTAACTCCGCCGACAATCGCGATAGAAAGGAAAGAGAAATAAGGACGAGAAGCAAGGAGGTAATCCTGTCGGTGTGTGTAGAAGGAGAAACTTGAATATCCTAACGATTTAGATCGCGCAAACACGAGTTATTCGTTATCAATGTTGAAAGAGAAAGGAAACCGACACGATCGTAGATCATCGTAGAACGTTGCAGACGAAGCAAGATCGATGGAAGATTAACGAAGATTAACACTGGTGGATGATAAATTCCTAATATCCTCTAATCGAATCCAGAAGCGATAGAAGAAGATGAAGAGAATCGGACGAAGACAAAGACGAACGAGCCGCGGTGGAGGCGCTTACATGAATAATGCAGCTGGGATTCAGATGGTAACCGCAGATACGAGCGATGAATTTCAAAATAATAGGACGCGAGGAAGGCGTGAACGGTAGACAGACTCCGCCATTATATCATAGACCACGTAACCATATGGCGAGAGGATCGCGTTGGCGGGCCAGTGAAAGCTATTGAAATCCTACGACTAACACGAGGGCACCAACTGCACCGGAATACCGCTATAGGGATGCAGCGTGGAGAACGGCCGATCCACCTGTTGCCATCGTTCCGCTTCAAGAAGATGGCCCATCGTTGGCCAACGGACAAACGTCCACCTCCGTCGATGAGATTCGCTGCCGGTTCCGCGGAAAACACTTACCGGTGAGCAAGAAAACCGTCAGGGCCAATAGGGTCACGATCCTCGGGTGGCTCATTGCGCTCGTTCGGTCTAATCCTCCACGGGTTGACTCTGACTACTGACACTTTGTTATCGACCTCGGCACAACTTCTCCCCTTCACTTGCCCGGTACGCTCGGTCGCTCGTTTCGATACCCCACCAGGTCCTCGCGGTTTCTTACCGCCATCGTGCGGCTTCGGTTAACCGGCGAGTTCAGCCGAGCGGATCCTTCTCGGAGTCGTAAGATTTCTTTTCGCGCCCGTACAAATCAGTCGGACTATGGAATTTCGGGAGATTCGGGGAAAATTTCGGAGGAGATATGGAAGAGGAGGTTCAGGGATGATATCTGGTTCTAGAGGTTTTGGGTAGTTGGATCCTCCTAGGGTAATCTGTGTACTGACATTACTAATTTGAGTACATCCCTAGTTGGGTCTACCTCTCTAGTTACATTTACCTAAGTACCTACGTTCGTGTATTTATATTCACCTGTGGATCTAAATTTTGCTATAGAGTACCTTGTATGTCTACATTAGTCTGTCTCTACTTATCTATCTACCTACACTGGTGGAATTAATTCTGGACACTTTGAATAAAAATATTCTTTATTTCATATTCGCGCAGAAATTGATACCCTAATATTTTTATTGTAATTTATAATGTTTATATTTAATATTTTCACATAATTTGGTTTATAAATGTTTGAAAATTTTAATTAAAAAAAATCACAGGATGAAAGGATATCCAACGAAATATTAATTTCTTTCTACCTCCTTTGATATGTTGAAATTGCAATTTTTATTGTATATTAAAAGTATGGCTTTTGTAAATCTTTTTACTGATTTTTTTATATAAGCGATGCCCTAAAATTAGAAAACAATGATTAGAATATAAAATATAAATGATTATATATTAAATAATTTGAATGAATGCGAAATTTAAGAAAAATTTAAAAGTGTCCAGAATTAATTCCACTAATGTACCTATCTATTTATCTATCTATCTGCCTATTTATCTATCCTCCCATTCAACTATCTATCTATCTACCAATCTACCTATCTACCTAAGTACGTTCACTAGCTTGCAAATTACCTTTGTACCCAGCTATCTACATATGTTTTACCTATGTACAGCTGTCGATGTATGGGTGAAGTAGATTACCCCCTCAGGGTCTCAGTCAGTGTTACGCAACTGCCATCCGCTACCCGAAGCTCGAAGGGGGAACCAGATCTCCCGTCATGGATAGTGAAAGCCGACGAATACCACTCGCGATCTTGCTACTCATGATCCAGCATTGTCGGTGAACCGGTCAGATGAACGAAACGAACACGTCACGGTCATGCCGCTGATCGATGATCGATCCAGCTCTCGATTCTTTGTCTGTCGAAACGACAATGCTTGACATTTGGTCATCCAAAGATTTTGCAATTCTTTATTCCTGATGGTTGTTCTATGGTAATGGCGTACTGTTCGTCGAAGCATTGATTAATAGCTTGGATTCGAGCTGGGGCGAAATATTAATTTCTGAAATTTTGGAGGAAATTTATGGTTGATCTATTTTCAGTTTGATATGTAAATGTAATAATGATACTTGATGATGGGAGATTGCTTTAGATCGCTTCTACGATTCTATCGAGAATAATGTTAGTTATTCGTCTGGAGAATTCGTTTCCATCGGATACATTGTAAATTATGTAAAGAGAAAGGTTACAATCGGGCGATTAAGTGAAATTCTCTACCCACCTGAAGAACCATTTTATACCCAGCTTATTGTATTCAAAACAAGATGAATTTTCAATTGTTCCAGTCGAACACCGTAATTATCCCTTAAATATTAAAATGTATTCAATATTCAACAATCAGATAATGTTAAAAATTGGAGTATTTTATTTTACAGTCGAAATTACGTATACAAAAGAAACCACGCGAAATGAAACGTATCGCAGACTTCTCTTCAGCTGTCATTTAAATTTCTCCCTGGTATGTTAATTAAGTCGTGGCTATTGATTTCTCCGTTACAACAAACGTCAACAAAATTGTCGACGCTATAAATTTCCAGAACGTAATATCCGTTTACATAAGGAGAAAGGTATAATTATCGTGGAGGTGTATGCAAAAGCCACTCATTTACGTAACTGTATCGCGGGTTTATTGTTCCTAAATGTAATAAAAAAAAAAAAAAAAAAAAAAAAAAAATAATAATTAAGCGTTACAAACGTATCGCCGAGTAACTGGCACCTTGTCTTTCCTCTCAGTTCTTGTTCTTGTAATAATCCTCGCTGTAACAGGAGATAAAAACAAAAATAAGAAGTTGAATATTACAGTGTAAATTTTGGATTCGTTGGAACTTTTTAAAAATATGGAATTCTTATTTTGCGCTATACAAATTAGACGAGAGTTAACTAATTAAATAATAAAATAATAAAAAAATTCTCACCATCCAGGCACGTTCTCCGGATCGGTACACCTGAAGCTGTCCTCGCTATAAACGGTGCTAGCCTCGCATTGTCCTTTCTGCGGTTGGACGCCATTTTTGCAAATGTAGAACTTGGCGCAGTCCTCCGGATGAGGATACGTAGGATGGGGTAAGATCCTGCCAAGGGGACCAGCCACATCACCGTCGGGACAGACGAAACCATCGTCAAGGGCGTCTCTCTTCACGTGCTCGCACAGTCTGCTGGCATCCGCAGCCCAGACGCAACTTGACATTTTGTCCTCGTAGATTAAGCCAGGCGGACAAGGCATTACCTGGGGCACGCCATCGATGCAGTTCACGAAACGATCACACGCGGTCGGATCTTCGTGCTTGAAGTATCCATTGGCACGGGGGCATCCCTTCGATGGCTGTGGTTCCTCTGAATGGTAACAAAATAATAGAATAGATACTTTTTCTATAAAAATAGAAAATTATAATTTTATTCGACACAGAATTCTGGCTCTCTCCATGGTCCGCGCTCTAGGGACTCTCTCCGTGGTCCGCCGTCCGAGGGTTCAGAAAAGCATTGTTATATTTCTTAATTTTTTAGGAAAAGGGTTAATCGTTGTATTAATAACTTAAGTTGATATTTTGTATTTATTTTACGATCCGATTCGTATTCGTGCGTATCTTAGGCTGTTGTTAGAAAGAAAAATGAACAAACATTTAACTATTTGATGCGATACCGGTTTTTACAATCGCTGAAATAGTAAAAGAAACATCGAACTCTTGTCCTTTCACTGGGATTCTTGGGTCCGCAGAAATGGTAGAGATTAGCATGCAGATTTATTCGCGTGATAAAAAATGGTAAAAGGAGGCAAAGAAAAGAGGTAGGCTCGAAACAAATTTAGCAAAGAATTCGTGGAGAAACTGGTTTATCCTAATTTATTGCATCTTTGCCGACATTGCAACCCGATTTAATCGTTATTCGTGAATGGCCTTATAAGATGGAACCTGAATCTATAGGGATTAAATAACACTGGCAGCCAAAATCTTGGGTGCATGGGTTAATCAGGAAAGTATTCTTGAATTCTTTTCAATTTGTAAAATTTAATAAACTAAATAGAGGACGAAAGGATTATAAATATTATTATAAAAAAAGGAATATTGATAGTGAAAGTGTTTAGTATTTTTTTATGTAGAAATCAAAATGACACTCAAAGTACTAAGTGAAGAATATAAATTCAACCAGCAGTCTAAGCCAAGAAAGATTGATACGTATACCGTGTAGTTCATTAAGAATTCGACTTACGACAGTGCTCGGAATTTCTCGAAAATAGAAGATACTGTGACCAGAATATTCTCGCGCGCACCGATATCGATACTCGTAACTTTCACTTTTGATTTCTCATAAGTTTACTTCGGCAAGTGATCTTTCCTTGATTACATCTCGTTCGATTAGATAATTTTATTCGAGTTTTACACGCTTAAAAATACCATCGATAAATTGACCTTTGTACGGCTCGAATTGACCCTAAGTGAAAATCAAGTGACTTTCGTTAAAGAAAGTAAAACAATATTTGACTCTGTTTTTTGTGGAATATGTAAATTAGGGTTAAATTAACACTTTCGACCCAACCCTTAAAATAATTGTAACAATATTAAACTACATATGATTTTCTTAATTATATTCAAAATAATAATTAAATTTTGATAAACTTCCAAATAATTTGACGAGGCAAATTTTATCAATCAAGTGTAAAGATGAAAAATCTATATTCGAAAGTAACGTAATTATGCCAGATCGGATTTAAATAATTAAATTCTGATATTTCGTTTAATAAGCATCCAAATAATTTCACGAGGCAAAATTTCATTTTATCAATCAAGTGTAAAATTGAACGTAACGTAATTATGCCAGAAACGAATGTAAAAATAAAAAGACACGAGTGGAACTTACGAAGAAGAGTTCTATCACCGCAGGGTACATTGGCCGGTAGATCACAGAACTCCTTCTTAGGGTTGTCGTCCCTGAAGACGAGCCCGTCCTTGCACAATTTCTCTTCCGCCTTACCGTCCACGCAGGCGTAATAAAGATCGCACTGTTCCGGATCCGGGAAGAAACCCTTAAGTTCCGGGCATCTAAACTGTCCTCTACTTAATCCGACACAACAAAGTAACAAAAGGGTGACCACGTATCGCGACATGGTCCTTCTCAGAAAACCCTTAATCTTAAAAGAACACGTCCCCCGTATCTTCTTCGTCCTTTATTCCTCTTGCTCTTCTTCTTCTGCTCGCCTGTCGACGGCACGTAGCAACGTGGGTATGACGTGAGTGCAGACCTGAAACTGGTCCTGATTCGCCTGCTCGCCACACCACCACTGCATCTTTCCTTGCATTTCACAACCCCCCCCCCACCCCCCTTACTCTTTCGCCGAAACTCCTTTCTCGCTTGCTCCGCTATCGCCGCTTTTCTTCGGGGAGAACGCGTTCTATATGTAGGTACACAGGTTACATCAAAATAAATGTAACAGGCAAAGAAGAATTCGAGTGAAATCTTTTTATACAGGGTGATCATCTTGCTAAGCGAACTAAAGGCGTTGAAGACTAGAAATGGGGTGAAAAATCATAACCGTGATTATTTTTTAATTTTGATCCTTGTTCTTGATTGAATTCAATACAGCTTACCTAAAAATAGCTGCCTATAATATAAATTTATCGAAGCTCTAATTATTAATAGTTAAATTTAAATTTCAACACCTTTAAAATTTCAAAATTACCTATTTTAAGCCAACCTGTAGATTCTCGTGAATTAGCATTCGGCCGGCTTTCTGTCCCGCGTTACGTCTACCTTTTATCTTCTTTTTGCATTTCACGATTGCACGCAAATATATTATCGATATCGATATTGCCGTGCGTCGCCGTCTTCCGGGTACGCGAACACACCCTTTGACAATTCTGCTATCTGGTCCGGGGCTTATCAGTGATCCGGGTATCTCGTTATCGGGATAGTTCTGGTAGAAATTCGCGAACCGGAAAATCATATGGGAAAGTGTATTTGATCAATGGGAATTACTTTGATCTTGTGGAAAAAGAAATTTACTGTGGTTCTTTCATTTTATCTTCGAATTTATATTTTCAAAAATATATTTATTATTTGAATTTTGCTTTAAGTCTTCGATAGCTGTAAACATTGAATCGTTTTATATTATTAAACGAGACAAAGTCGTTATCTTAAAGAGGGTGAACGTTCCAGATGGAAGAAAATGAATAACTGTATAACAGTTCGGTATGATTGATTAAAATCTTCTGATACGTCTGGTACGATTTCACAGGCATTTGTGAAATTGTATTTGCGCAATACTGAAAGTGTCCGTGAATGTTAATATCGTTACTTCTGTGCACACCCGTTCTCTTCCAGGTGCTTTGAATACGTGCGTATTTCCTTTGATATTCTCATTAGAGCATTCACTTTTCTTTAATCAATGATTCTTATAGTATTTATTTCCAATTTTTCATTAAATCGCTGTGCTTCAAAGATTCTATCGTAACTTTTGTTAACGATTGGTTTCAGAACAATTAGTTATCAACAATTTTTTATCGTTCCAGTAATTCGAAGCCGATGTCCTTATAATTGCCCATAACTAATTAATTACTGGCAGAATCCTGACGAAACTTGTATGTGAAGATTTCTACGAGTATGTTTTTTTAAAAATAAATTATAAAAGTTCAAAAATTGTTTGCAGGAAATGAGTAATTAATAATTTTCCTCTGTACGTGTTAAGGGAACTTTGGAAATCAACTTTGTTCCTGCTCTCCTGTTCGATCGACAGCGTCATCTAGCCGATGGGAACGGAACTAACTCTATAAAGTCAGTGACTACAGATGCAGAAAACTGGACATGCCTTCGTTTTCGAGCGGTCGTGATACACGTGGTCCCAGGCACCCCCAGATGAGATTAGGTCTGCATGGTTCTTTGGGCAAAAAGGAGCAGTCCAAGCTCCTAAAGCACGCCACCCGAGGGAATAGGGTGCGCAAACGCATCCTGAAAATCCCAAATCGAGAAAATTATAAAGTAAAGTTAGGTCTGCATGGTCCCCTGTGGCTCGGGGGGAGTAGAATACGGCCACGGTATCCCCTGCCTGTCGTAAGAGGCGACTAAAAGGGGGATGTAAAGGAGCGAGTGAACTAAAAGTAATGCAAAGAGTGAGAGAGATAATGTAACTGGCAAAGCGAAAGAAAGAATGTACGGAGAGACATTAAGATTTAAAGAAAAGAGTGTAAAAATGCGCGAGAAAAAGGATTGGCGTAAGTAATTACTGCCAACCTTGCCCAAGCGCGGGGACGAAAGAGTTCGTTGGACAAAAAGGGACAGTTGAGGTCCCTATAGTACGCCCCCCTCGCAGCAATATCCCAAAATGAGGGAGAGGCTGAACTTTACTTTAGCGGACATAAAATTATCCACTTTTTTCTCCTCAATCTAATAGTTTTCGATGGGTAGAATCCAAAAATTCAGGTTTTAACTATCGAAATGCAGCGATTTAAAAGTTTGACACTAATAGTGCATTTGCAAGGTTACTGCGACGCCATATTGGCTTCTTGTCCAATGAACGGTGTCGCTAGCTGCAGGCAGCAGATACCGACCACTTTAGTGGGTTTAGTCAAATTGATATTGCCTGAGTTAGTTAGATTTATATTTATCTTAGAGAGAGAGAGAGAGTACAGCCCATGCATTTGCTTATTGCTTCTATTATATCAATTTTATGAGTAATTTAAATACAGCTAGTGATGGAATCCGTACCCAAAAAAGTTTACTGTCCCCAAAAGTTAAGTTTAACCTGAGATCCCCATAATCATGATCCCTCGAGAACAAAGTCATATCTAATTTTCCTCTATCTATATATAGTCACTGCTGTAACAGTCACTGTTGATATGCGTTTGTTCCAGTTGCATTTGTTCCAGTTGCGTTTGAAAATTAAAGATCCACGATGGGTATTCCAGGATTAACTACATTCATACGCAATCGCTCACATCGTTACCTAGAATATTACGAATTACATGACACGTATTTGGTAATTGATGGTAACAATATTCGCTGTCAACTATATAATTCGTATGTGAAGTGTAATTGTGCCTTCGGCGGCGATTATGATAAGTATGCACAATGTGTATCAGATTTTTTTGATAATCTATTAAAATGTAATATAACACCATTGGTTTTATTCAATGGGGCTTATGAGAATAAGAACATGAAAACTGCTATAAGTAGAACAAAGGAAAAGATCGAGAAAGCATCATCTTTTTGCCCTCTCAGTCAAGAGAGAATGACATTTTTCCCTCTATTTTTAACCAGAGTTTTCAAAAATGTTTTGAAAGAAAAAAATATTCGTGACGTGCAATGTTTATTTGAGGCTCATAATGTTGCAGCCTCGGTGGCAAAAATTTTAAATTGTCCTGTACTCAGCTATGATTCTGACTTCTACATATATGGATCATTATATATACCATTTAATACATTAGATAAATATGCAACCAAAAGTGGAACAGGAAAAGGCTATCTGATGTGCTGTAGAATTTATAGAACTGAACGCTTATTGAATTCTTTTGAAGGTTTAGATGAATCAATGTTACCATTGGTAGAGATACTCTTGGGTAATGATTATGTAAAACGTACATTTAAAAACTTCTTTCGTCATTTCAAATTACATGGAGTATCAAGGAATAAACATGACTACCAACAACGTCGTATAGAAGAAACCTTCACTTGGTTAAGCAAATATACATTGGATAAAGCTATTGCTGGAATTTTAAGTAGATTAGACAAGCCTATACGACAAAGAATACTGCACTTGATAGAGACTAGTATAAATAGTTACACAAATGCATCTACCGAAATACTTATTCCATTAGGTTTTTCAAAAGAATATGTTGCCCAAGTAAATAGCCATCATTTAAATAGAATTTTCAAATATGATGGTGATATTGATAGCTTAACATATATAGAAGAAATTGATGAAAAAGATGGCATTGACACAAGCGAAGAAGAGGAAGAAGAAGAAGAAGAAAATGAAATAATGAACATACCCGATGAGTCTGATTCAATGTACAGTAATGCACTTGTTAGTAATTTACCTGTATGGTTTATAAATGAACTTCTAATGGGTAAACACCCGCCATATTTTCTGGACTTAATAATTCGATGTGTATATATTTGTTCTCCACAAATAGAGGACTGCAATTATCCTTCAACCGTTATGATATGTTCAAGAATTATTAACGTTATATTTGCACTTTTAAAATCAGCAGTAAACAATGAAATACGTGATATGAGCTATATAACCAGAGGTAAAAACGATTCAATAGCACATTATAAATTAGAATGTACAGGAAGTATAGTTTCTTGTGCACTTCCATCTTTGGCTAATCTAAGAAACGTGCCATTAACTATTAGAAAAGAGATTTTTAATGATACATTAGAAGTTGCAGAACATATGGAACATATAAATGAATTTCCATCAGAATGGATATTATATATAATGTGTATAAAATATTGGATGAAACACCATGATCCTTGCACATTATTATACAGTTGTGCATACTCCCTATTTGTTTGTATGTTATTTCATGTAATAGACATAAAAATCGGGAAATGTAGAGTTGCATCCAATTTTCAACGTAAATATAGTAAAAGGCTTCAGTATATAGAAGAGAAAAGAAAAGCAAATAGTTATAAACCAAATTATTCTATGGATGTTACAATTACTGAAGCCCTTAATGAAGTCGACCCTGATGATTCTATACTGGCAGCGCCTTTTTTCATTTCTCATTTTAAAATGGATACAAAATTGTATTTAAATCCAAAGAAATTTAATAAATTTATAGTTCACATATTTGCAGAGTTTCAAAATTGTTTAAAACACGGTATGGATTTGAATACACTTTTAGGAGAGCCTTATCCACCGACTAATATTGCTAATTTATATAATGGTACCTTACTATACAATTTATCTACTAATTTTCAATCGCGGGATGATATTGAAAAATATATAAATACTGTGTTTCATAAATCACCAAGCCTTTTAAGGGTTTTTAATATATTTTTGGTAAAAATAAAACTTTTGTTTCCGTTAATCCAGGAAGTTAAATCTCGCAAATAGCAGAGAAAGCATAAACGTCAAAAATTAAATCATAACTCGGATAAAGATGATTCTGAGTACTATGGCGCTGAGGAAGACTTAGATAAATCAGAATTTCGTGATCCAAATAATCGATTTTGTTCATTTACTTTAAACTATATACTTTTTGTAAACTAAATACTTTATTTTACTTTACTTTACTTTATTTTATATTTTATATAAAAGTTGAAACCCTACGAGTTGTATGTATATGCATATATAATGTAACTAAATGCGAGTGTGAAATAAAAGTAAACTAAAGATCTATCGGTATAAAAATTTTCATTTGAGTTATTTTATTTTATTATATTTTATTCCTATTTCTTCTTGGAAATAGAACGTATCAGCTTTTGTTTTTTGCTTTGTGAAGTACTTGCTCTAGGATACTGGAAAGAATGTATAATTAATTTCCATAATCGTAATAAACTTGCAATAAAATTTTAAATTACATTTCGATACATTTCCCAAAATGCAGTAAACATTGTTTTAAGTATATTTGCTTCTTCCCTCAGAGTAGGCAGGCAATAACCATCTTCTCCATGTTTTATTATTAATCCATCATGAACAGCGCAATCCAATTTCTTTTTCAATTCTTCAGTGAATGTTTTCAACTTACTATCAATCGAGTAACGATGACGGAGATATTGACTGATAAGAGTTGAATTAACATAAACTTTGCGTAGTTGTAACTTTTTAACTGCTAAACGATTCATTTGCGGGGTGATTTGGGTGAATGGTCATTATTAATACATTTTTTACAAGAATTACCTATTATTATTTTTTATTGCTATTATTATTCTTTTTTTCGGTGAAACTACAGAACAAATACGTCCTTCCCGATTTCGATGATTTTCATTCTCACATCCCGACATCCCTTATATTCCCGTATCTTTTATATCCCTGTATTAATTATACCCTCGCATCCCTTACATCCATGTAACACTTATATCCGTGCACCCCTTACATCTCTGCATTTCTCACATCTCTGCTTTCTTTATATCTCTGCATCAGTTACATTCCTGCTTTCTTTACCTCCCTGCAGCCCTTACATCTGTGTATTTCCTACATCCCTGCTTTCTTTATATCTCTGCATTCCTTACATAACTGCATCGCTTACATCCCTGCATCCCTTATATTCCTGCTTTCTTTATATCTCTGCCTTCCTTACATCTCTGTATTCCTCACATCCCTGCAGGCGAACCCTATATCACTGCATCCCTTAGATGTCTGCGTCCCTGCATCTCTTCCATCTTTGTTTCACTTACATGCCTGAATTCCTTACATTCCTGCGTCGTTTACATCTCCGTAACAGAGCATCCCTTCTTTACAGGCCAAGACCCATCCCCTTCAATTATTAATTATTTTATCCTCCTTTATGGGCCAAGACCCACGCTCCCTAACTATTTCTTATCCTACTCCTCTCTATGGACCAAGGCCTCCCTTGGCAAATATTTATTTCTTCATTCTTTCTATGAGCTTATCCTTATAGCACTGCATCCTTTACATCACTGCCCTCCTTACATCTCCGTATCTTTTACATCCCTTAATTCTTTACATCCCTCCATCCTTTACATCTCTGCATCCCTTACATCCCTTATGTCCCTCCAACCCTTATAGCACTGCATCCCTCACATCACTGCCCTCCTTACATCTCGGCATCCCTTACATCCCTTATGTCCCTCCAACCCTTATAGCACTGCATCCCTTACATCACTGCCCTCCTTACATCTCCGTATCTTTTACATCCCTTAATTCTTTACATCCCTCCATCCTTTACATCCCTTATGTGCCTGCAACCCTTATAGCACTGCATCCCTCACATCACTGCCCTCCTTACATCTCCGTATCTTTTACATCCCTCCATCCTTTACATCTCTCCATCCCTTACATCCCTTATGTCCCTGCAACCCTTATAATAAATATATTACAAAGACTGGTTCGAGTAAAGGTAAGTAAAGGTAAGTAATTTTTGAATTTTGAATTTTTCAATTTTCAATTTTTCGCCCTCTAGCGGGAAAAATGTGAACTAAAATCTCGACCTCGAATCAGCGCCATCTGGTTTTAGAAAAAGGAACTAAACCATGCTGGAATTTTGGCCCTCTAGCGGGAAAAATGTGAACTAAAATCTCGACCTCGAATCAGCGCCATCTGGTTTTAGAAAAAGGAACTAAACCATGCTGGAATTTTGGCCCTCTAGCGAGAAAAATGTGAACTAAAATCTCGATCTCGAATCAGCGCCCTCTGGCGGTAAAAATCGGAACTAAATTTGTGACGATTTCTTTCTCAAAAGATACAGGAATATAAGGGATGCAGCGATGTAACGAATGCAGGGATGTAAGGAATGCGGGGATGTAAGGAATGTTGTGATGTAAGGAATGCAGGGATGTAAGGAATGCGGGGATGTAAGGAATGTTGTGACGTAAGGAATGCAGGGATGTAAGGAATGCCGGGATGTAAGGAATGCTGTGATGTAAGGAATGCAGGGACGTAAGGAAAGCGGGGGGTAAGGAAAGCAGGGATGTAAAGGATGCCGGGATGTAAGGGATGCAAGGATGAAGCGGGGTCGTAGGGCCGGCGGAGGTCGGGGCTGGAGCCCCGGTCTCCATTGCACGAGGCCCGAGGAGTTCCGGCATCGGGTGTGGCCCCCGATGTCGGTGAAGTTTGGCACATGGGGGAGGGTTAAAAGGACCGTCAGAGGTCCCGAGACCCTCCCTAAAGCCCTAGTGCAGGCCACCGTGGAGGTTTTAGCGGGTAAGAATCCCGCACTACCTCCGGCCTCTCCCCAGGGGGGCTGGAGGTGTCTTTCGAAGATTTCCTCCACGTAAAAATAAAAAAAAAAAAAAAAAATGGATGTGAGGAATGCGGAGATGTTAGCGATGCTGGGATATGAAGAAAGCAATGATGTATACGACGTAAGTAATACAGGGGTGTACAAGTGACAGAAGTGTAAAAGATGTAAAGATATAAAACAAGCAGGGATGTAAAGGATACAGTGATGTAACGAATGCTGGGATATAAATAATACAAGAATATAAGGGGTGCAGACAGGGCCGGCGCGAGGCAGGTACAGCGCGTTGGCCGGAACCCGGCCTCGCGTTTTGAAAGGCCCCGCGGTTTACAAAAACTCGCGATTGAAACTAATAAAAAATTATCTTCAGTCATCAATAAGCCAAGACTGATTTACATCTCTGGCTATTCTTTCAATAAAAAGTGAAGTAGCAAACTCAATCAATTTTGATGACACAATCAAAGATTTTGCGGCGAAAAAAGCGAGAAAAATTATGTAACATTCATTTTACAAAAAATATATGTAACATCCTTTCTATTTATAATAACTAATTCCTTATTGTAATATTTAAGTATAGGATTTGAATGTGTATTCTGGCTCCATAAAATTTTTGGAACCAGGCCCCGCAAAAGGTCACGCCGGCCCTAGGTGCAGAGATGTACAAGAATCAGGGATGTAAAGAATGCATACGGGAGTACTAAAATCAATACGTTCGTCTTCTTAATGAGTTTATTCAATAAGGTAAGTAGATAAATACAGCAAATTAAATAAACTCCGAAAAGAAGTTAGAGGACGATTATTATACCGATTGTGCCCTCTTCATACGGACCTGATTCCATCCAGGGGTGCTAGAAACCCTGCAGCGTCGGTGACTCTCTGCATACCGACCTAATATTAACTTGGGGTGTTAGGGACCCCAAAGCACTTGTAATGCTCTTTGCATACCGACATTATAGCACCCGGGGTTTCAAGGACCCCGAAGCACGATGATGCTCTTTGCATACCGACATTATGGCACCCGGGGTTTCAAGTACCCCAAAGAACCGATGATGCTCTTTGAATACCGACCTAATATCATCTTGGGGTGTTAGGGACCCCAAAGCACCGGTGATGCTCTTTGCATACCGACATTATAGCACCCGGGGTTTCAAGGACCCCGAAGCACGATGATGCTCTTTGCATACCGACATTATGGTACCCGGGGTTTCAAGTACCCCAAAGAACCGATGATTCTCTTTGAATACCGACCTAATATCATCTTGGGGTGTTAGGGACCCCAAAGCACCGGCGATGCTCTTTGCATACCGACATTATAGCACCCGGGGTTTCAAGGACCCCGAAGCACGATGATGCTCTTTGCATACCAACAGTATGGCACCCGGGGTTTCAAGTACCTCAAAGAACCGATGATGCTCTTTGAATACTGACCTAATCTCATTTTGGGGTGTTAGGGACCCCAATGCTCCGGTGATGCTCTCTGCATACCGATATATCATCTTGGGGTGTTGGGGACCCCGAAACACCGGTGACACTCCTTGCGTACCAACATTATGGCATCCGGGGTGTCTGGGACCCCAAAGCTAAAATGTGCGACCCATAGACCTTCAATAGGAAAATTGAAACCTCTGTAACTTTTGACTCCGACCACTTAGCCGCACAAATGCAACGGTTTTGATTATAATTATTGATTATAATTATAATTATTTATTTGAATTGAAATTAATAAAAGTTAACATGTCTTATCAGTTTGAAGTATATTGAAGGAATGAACGTACAGAAAAGTTATTTGAATTTCTTAATATAAAATAAATGATTAGCAAAAATATTTGATAAAGGAGGCATTGAGAATTTCTTCTTAATAGGCATTTTCTTCATTATCGACTTCGACGCCGGCTGCCACATGTTTTGGAAACTCGGTCGATATATTATTGAGCAGTTTCCGTCATTTTTGTGTAGATGGCGTTGGAGTCGAATTTTAAAAATATTGGATTTATGGCGGTCTGTTTAAACAAAACTTATGTTAATTTGAACTGGTTTTTAAAAAATAAAAAAATTCATAGATATATAAGCTCTTATATTTATTTGAATTTTATTTCAAGAATATATGCTATCATAATAATAATTACATTTACATTTAAATAATTGACATTACAGAAATAATTTTAGAATTAACAAGTTAACGTTTTCAGATTATAGTGGTATTTGCAACTTATTTTCGAATACCTTAAAATCTTCAGATACATGAAACTTTGATAGGTTAAAATAAACTTTCATTGGAATGGAATTAATTGAAATGAAATACGTATGTTGATTTTATATATCACATTTCGTTTTGAGGTCTGACATGGTGGATATTTTCCCTTTTGGTCAGAACCGAAAAACCAAAACCCTTAAACGCGCGGTTTCAAACCATAAGGAACATAATAACGAAAACCGTTTGCGTTTATCTCTTACCGTTTTTGCTCTACAGAAAGACAAACAGACAAGCGGACACACTGGAAAACCTATAGAAGAGAACTCCAATAACTTAAAGTGCAATAAATTATACAAAGGGTACTTCTCATTTATTTGATCACTTTCTTATAAGAGCAATTTTTGTTAAAATTCAGTATTTTCAGAAGTAGAACAGATGCGCGAATTGTTTATCCATTTTATCGCGTTAAAATGTATTCAATGCCGATTCAATTATCCTTCGACGTATCCTTGATGTGGTAAAAAGTAAAAGATCTATGTATTATTAACTACATACATATTATATCCAATAACTACTTTCAAGTCAGGTACTCTTAGTGTTTGCGTTGAAGGTTTCAAATGCAAATGCAAAAAGAAAACATTTTTATTATTTTTAATTCTTATGTGTGCATGATTAGTTGTGGAATTTTTACGGGACCGATTACTTCGTTGTATGCATAATAACTGAATATACATATACAACAATAAATTATCATTAACAGGGAAAGAAAAACAGACACAAAATTAGAAATCTGAAATATATATGAAGTTTATCAATATACACTTGAAGACTGTAACACATTAACCTATATGTATCAGGATTTTCAAAATTCTACCAATGGATTTAATTATAAACTTATCGAAACCGATTTATATCCGTCAACTGGTTTATTACAATGCATAGCCTCTATGACAATAGAAAAGATCAGTACCCCCCCTCCCCCCTCCCGCTTTAACGCACGATACATGTGCATTTAAATACACATGTGATCCCATTAACATATCTGTGGTATACTTTTTTTCTAAAACCATCAACAGATATACTGTATACTGCCAGAATCTTAACGATTGATACAATCGCTCTCTTTAGTTGTATAGCGTACTACCAATGCGGTATAGCGGTATAAATTATCTTCTCTGTTTAAAAACTATGAAAAGATATTTGCATGCTACTTATTCTGTTACTGATGCAGTTATAAAATTAATTGGACATCGAGGTCCAGACAGGAAAAAATAGTATCTAATAAAGCGAACAAACAATCTTCACGATGTTTTGATTGTATTGATCTACCAGAAAAAAAAAGAACCGATCTTAATTCACCTAAAGTGATTATTATACAAAGATGAAGAAACTATTTATAATAATCACCGTATTATTTAATCCGAGAAAATGACGTAACTTTTCCTTTATTTATGATTATAGTGTGGCTTTTAAGTTTACGCTTTTAACAAAAATTTGTCATTCCATAAAGAAATTCTTTCTTATTTTTTACATCATTTAATTACTAAGATTTTGTATTAAAAATATTTCGAAACATAAATAAATGAATATGAAATATTCTATGTCTACGAAAAATATTTACCCTGCAGCTGTTTTGTCAACATTTGAAGCTGTCAAAGGCAATCGTTTTTTTTTCTTTTTTTTCAATTTCTTCGATAACTTAAAAAGAAGTAAATACTCGTAATGCTACTCGTAAATACTCAAATTGCTTTTCTGTTCTACTACGTTAAATTAATGATCATTAATAAAGGAAGGAATATGAAAGGGGTGACAGTTGTTTTTTTATGAACTAAATGAAAAATATTGAGGATATTTGTACTAAAAACTTAAAACTCCAGCACTCACTTGCCACAGGCAAAATAACAGGAGTTCAAATCTTTTTCTACAGCCAACATAGAACTCGATTATCATAAAAAAAAAAACAGGCCATTGTGTAGAGTTTTAAGTAAAAGATAATAAAAAAGTAAATGGACAATTAAGTCGACCGATCGCAGGAATGATAAATGACGTGAAAAATCAATCGATCGTCCCTCTTGTGCATTGGTACATGTATATACTCCGTGTAATGGCCGTTAAGATGATCCAATTGTACGGATCCTAGGACTGTAGGGGAAACAAAGTATTTGCTTGACCCCTTCATAAATATTATAGTAATTATGAATTATGAATTACAAAAAAAAAAAAAATTTTTTCTCCTTCCTCTTATGATAGATTTTTTTCTAAACAATATCTTTTGTGTCAAAACCACGACGGCTTCTTAAAAGAGAAACATCAAAGACAATCCTTTGCAGATTCATCCTCTCCATAAATTTCCGGTAGCGTTGTTGTCTGACCGCAAACTAAGTCCGAGATACTTTTAGCTTTCACCGAATGGCCGAATGATTTTGCACATACGCTAAAATCTTTTGTCATTTCACTGATCTCTTTGCTCTCCTGATGGTCACACGTAGGTGGTAATTTAACAGTTGACATAGAATATACATTATCACCGCCAATACTATTCTTACCAAATGATGCGATTGAAGTTGTTGTTGATGTGGTTGTAATCATATTTCGTGATTTATCAAGATCCATATAATAATCCTAAAACAAAATCACTTATAATTTAACTTTTATACTCGTACAAATATTAAAGTTAATAGTTAATTGTCAATTAATAGTCAATTAAACATAATATAATAAAGGCGAACCTTTTCTGTATTGAGAGAATTGGAAATTTGGCTTTGAGCAGAACAATTTTGATTACACTGTGCTAAAGCAATAAGTGCCTTCTGATTTTCTCTAGCATCCACCAAGAATATACTTTCTTTCACTTCTTTTGCGTTATATTCGTCAATCCTGCAAGAAACATTAAATCAGTATATAATTCCATTGTTTTTTGACACAGGATTGATTTGTATAAATTTTAAGATTACTCACTTATCATAAATAACAGCATGTAAACCGAGTTTTTTCAAATGTTGAATCGTATCTTTATCATTATTGTCATCCCCCCAGCAGAAGATAATTAATCCAGCGTCTTTGACTAATTTTACTTGAGACGGATCTCGAAGAATATCTTCAGTATGAACATTTATTCCTAAGATATCAGCTGCTAACGCGTGTCTAACAGCCATCGGTATTGTTTGACACCTTGGATCATGGTAAGTAGGATACTTTGAGGTGACACCTTGTGTCAAGAATACTACCGGGTACTTATTTTGTTTAAGACGAATCATGGCACATATGTCAGGGTTAAAAGATGAGAAGACTATTTTTCTGTCGCCTCCATATTCTAACACAACTTTCAGTATAATATCCAAATATAAGTTAAGGTCAAAAGGGTGATTAAGCTCGAATGTGCCGTCCTATAGGGATAGATAATACATTTTTAATAAAAAGAAAATAAAGAAGTAAATAAGAATAAAATTTATATCTTATTTTTACCTTCAGTTGCATTGTCCATTTTATTTCAATATTACATCCAACGTGCTGTTCTAATTCTTGAAGTACAGTCTGAAGGGTAGGGAAAGGTTGATGATCTTCTAAATCTTCGTCAAAGAATCGTGGATTTTTTTCTCGACCTTCGGCCACGTGATAAACCTGCAAGAAGAATATCACCTTATTAGAAATACATAAACTAGAAAAGTGTCTTTAACGTAATTTAGTTAGATTTCTAAAATTGGTAAAAATCTTATGACGTTTGACATACTATACTTTTCGAAGCCAAATAAAGCACTCTGAAGTCATGTGAATATATTAAAAATAATATCATGCCTCTCATGATATTATTCACATGCTGTGATAATGTGATTTATACATTTCTTGATGGAAAGTTCCGCGCTCGCGTGTGGAAACAGACACGTGAAATCAGAGGGAATGAAACTGGTGAAGAATTATTAAAAATGATCTTTAAAATTTTGTAAAGCATTTTTTTACAAAGGTCATTTGGCAATAATTACGTCAATATAAAGTACTTTCAAATTAAATTACTTCAAAGATGTAGAGTACCGAAGCTTTCAGCTTTTAATCAAAGCATAATGTAGATACAATTATCGTAGTATTATGATGTGTCTATTAAAAATTAAATTTTTAGTTGGTTTTGGAATAAATTCGAAACAAGCATGCATCAAGTGGTTTAAGATGACTTATTCTGGTTATACATCTTTCGCGACAAGTTAGGCGGCGCAAGCGATATGAAAGCTCACCACTTGGTTAACCCCGTGCTCAGCTTTATCAACGACATACAGCACCTTACCCAACGAGTCCCTCGGGTAATGAAAATCCTGTAGAATATTATAAAAAGACAAATACGAATAGGTATCTAACACCTATGAATTCATGAGTTGCATGGCTGTATATCTACATACGATACAACCCTCTGAGATGATTCATTTCTCCTTCAATACAAAAATGGACATAAAAAGCGAAATATTAATGACGCGTAGCATTATTGGAAGCCGCATTCTATTGGTTAATGATAGATGCTAGATTATTTTATTAGAAGTGTCTTATTAATTGACTTAACAGTAAGATTATTAAGGTGATTTTCACTAACATTCCACCATGACTTATGAAACTAACATTCTTTAAAAAAGAAAAGAAATGTTTCGTTTATCATTCTTAATGTTTATAAATCATACTTTAAAATAAAATAATTAAAAAAAATTCTGTTTTATGAGCAAGTGTTGAATTCTGTAAATAACTATAAATATGAAAGAATGCACATGATATCTATGAAAAATAAATCATTTGACACTGAAAAAATGCAGTTAATGTATACGTGTAAAACCTACCTTTAATAAATGTAACTGCTCTAATGTAAGATCCTTAACTGGTATTTCCAACATGTCCATAGCTTCTATCTGTTTCTTGCGTTTTAATGAAATGGATACATAAAAATCATGATAAATAACAGGTATATGATCTTTGGATAGTTGGACATCAAATTCGACCATATCAGCGCCATGGTACGATGCGGTTTTTAAAGAAGCTACTGTATTTTCTCGTACATTAGCACAGCTGTAAGAATAATGCAAATTTTAGTATATAATAATTTTTGGAAAAATTTGAGTTTCCATCATATTTAAATTCGGGAACATACTTCTTTGTTTGAAAAGATGTGCCAAGCCCTCTGTGTCCCACATCAAGGCCAGACCATCGTTGTTCCCAATGTTTTGCATACGAAATACTCATATCCCATGGATAATCAGGTATTGATTTTATCACGACATATTCCACTGTAAGTTGTCCTAAAAATAAAGATATTGTTCAAGATAACTGTTGTGGCAATAAAGGAAAAAAAAAAAAAAATAGAAAAGTAATATTTTACCAATTGGTCTATGTTTTGTGCTTGTAATTGGTACTGTTAAAAGCCCAACGCTAGCTTGTAACGTGCTAGGCAAGATGTAGCTGAAACCAATATGACTTGGTGGTTCTCCAGGAAAACACCTTGAGCTGTACACGTAGTAGTCCACTAAGTATGCCTGAAAAAACAGTTTACTTAATATACATGGAAAAATACTACTATTTAAGACAACACCAAATGCTCGCATCAGTATTTTCTGCTCATCCATTATAGAGCTTGCTTCAACATTAATTAAGTCCAATGATCAAGGACATACTGTTTGAAGAAACTATTTTTCTAAATTTTTCTAAAGTAAGACACAAGAAATTAGAGATTCTAGTAAATGTGGCACAATTTACGACACTTTATCAACGATCCTTGATCACTAAAAAAACCGTAGGAATTAAACTACATCATTTGAGACATTTGTACATCTTATGTTTTCTTTTTACGAATGACTTTTGGCAGTTTTGAAATAATTTGTAGGCAAGAGCAACAAATTACTAGTGAAACAGGTCGACACAAACGACGATAATTTACTTCCTACATAATCTAGCAATGAACCAGACCAATAATTGCCAAATGCTGTACTCTGCCTGGTGACGCGTATCCCGCAACACCTGCCGATCATTCATTATTAAATTTCGATATTCAAGTCTGCAAGGTTTGTAATTCAGATTCAGAAGATTCTGACAGCTTAGTCTGGCATTTGTCCGCGCAGCGGTGTCAGGTACGGTACAGTAGAGTTGGTCAGAGCTAGAAAATATTAGTAGTACACTAAAAGGATATAGGAGTGATGGGAGCCTCACCATTTTCGACGCACACAGATGGATATGAGGTGTGACAGCGTTGATATCTCTAAATTCTTTAGGGTTGCTTAGGATGACGGCTGTGACTCGCGTAAACCGATCTCACATTACAACAGATCGCGTAGTAGTCTGGATGATAAGTATTGTTGAACCAAATCCATTATCTCTTCAGTCACAATAATACCGACGTACTTCAGAAAAATTTACGGTTTTTACGAGAGACTAGCCTAAGGATAGGTGCGGTAGGGTGAACGACAATCAAAACCATCATATCTCTGTGTGATGTCATGTGACACAGATGTAAAGTGGTAGACGATGCTTAGCATCGATACATCAGATTGCATGTTAGCATCATCATTTGCACCAGAAGTCTTGCTTTGTACAAAGCTGACGAGAGGTTGTCTTCATTCCAGGCCAATGCGCGTGACATCGCTTCTGGTTTCCAAGGAGGGCAATAGCTGCTGAACAAGTTTAATTATCTTTTACCAAGTAATTTGAACAAGCCGCGAGAGAAGACGTGGCCAGCCTACTCGTGGTCTACTGAAAACTCACATGGTATGGTCAATGCGTATTCTTTAGTGTATCTAATTCTTTCATGAATTACCACTAGTTTGCCATTTATTGCCGTGTCATGCCTACAATTTTTATCAATATTATGTTTATCTATCTGCCATTTCTATTAAACACAAAGATGTACATTAGTCGTCAAGTGCTAGGGAGGTAAACTAAAAGACACCACATTTCTTTTTTCTGATTCTTTTTTCTTAATTTCTGTTATACAACTAGTTGATGTATTATTGAAGACAATGCCTTTGATGTTTCCATTGTTGAACTGTCCATTAAAAGACGGAAAGTGTTGATTTGTAATAAAAATCGAAGATCTATCCTATATACATAATGCATGTTATAAAAATTACAAGCAATGCAAGCAATAAATACCAACCAATGGTTATTCATCGAACTGTGTATTTAATATGACTTTTTGATGGCTGTTTGTGTGATTACTTACGATAGTTTCAGGGTATCGAACCGCAACATTGAAGATAATAAATTCGTCTTCATTGTAAGCTCGACCAAATTGTTCCTGAAGTTTGAAGTGAGCCTCTTCGTCGTTCATAACCTACGAAAAAAATATTTTATTAGATAAAAAAAATATTAACTGTAATAAGAAATATGATTAAAGTATATATACCGCAATTTCTGTAATACTAAAGGCAGGTTGATCAACAATATCTTGTGTATCCATTGAAAGACTATCATCTACACAATCGCCTCCAAACTGTTGCAATTCTAAAGAATTGTGCCTAACTAGATTTACAGGTGTCATCTAAAACGCAAGAAAATGTTTTAATTTTGAACTTTTACATATTAATCTGATATTAACAATTCAAAAATACATACCTTAATATGAACTTTCCTATTTTGTAATCGGTTTTTCCATAATTTAATTGGATTATTAAAAAGCTTAAATTGTACCACAGTTTCGTCAGTCAACCAGCCTCGTTCAATTTTGCAATAACTATTATAACAACCAAATTTATCTGGATCTGGTAATGTGTCACTAGTAAAATTGCTAGGTGCTGTAATAATAAACATTTTACTTATAGCTACAGTCAGCAGATAATTAATTTTCTTTACATTTATATACATACTGTTCTTTTTGACAAGGCGCGGTCTCATATGAGTCTCCCATCTACGAATAATGAGAGTCTTGGCCGAATTTTTAGTACCATTAGATTGACAGATAACAGCAACGAAATATCGGAATTCTACGTCAGTATCAATAGGGAGTGCAACCTTTTGTGAAAATATCTGTCCACCTCTGAAATATACAAGCCTCTATGTGTATGTACAGCTACATGATTATTAATACATCTTAATTATGCATTCAAACCATGAATGATCATAAATGATGAACAAATTTTTATTTACTCACTCATCATCTACGTCACCAAATAAATTATCTCCAGCATGTCCATCATCGCTATAAAATTCCCCACTACTGTTACTGTCAAAAAGTACAGGAGAATCCCGACTGCCATGTTCTTGTGATAATTGAAGTGCCTGGTTATGATTCCAAGAACCCAGTTCGGGCAAATTGCCCACAACGTATAAGACTTCATTTTTCTCCACTTTATGCACCTGAATACGCATGAAATTGATAAAAAGCATTAGATTACAATGATTAAAAACAGCATTGAAAGTAATAAAAATTACTACTCATTACCTGCACTCTAAAAATCCAGTCCCTTTTAGACCCCCTCATGTCTGATGTCTGTTCAGTCGCCACCTCGATGAAGCTAGTCTCACGTGGCTCTTCTAGCGGCTTCAATTGCTCCTCCTCTTTGTTCTCTATAAACCACATCCGCTGCATATTACTATCTTTTCTTTTTCTCACTGTTTTTCTCTTTCAATTTTCTGTGTTTCAAGGTGTGTTCAATTCACATCAGCTAATTTTCTGTAATAAGGGACTTGTTGTAAGGTACGCCAGGAAGTTTACAATAACGATCAAATTTATTGGGACAGGTGTTCAATAGACAAATTTCTTTTTATAAAAACCAACTTTAAAAATTATTTTTAAGTATTAAGTATTTATTTATTATTAAATGCAAATTTATAGTTTGTTCTATAGATACATTGTATGGTGTATGATTTATTTATTTTTATTATTTAAGAAGGATACTTTTATTGTAATCATCCTATAGGTGTATTAAGGTTTTCTGATAAGTGTTAACAGAAAGGAATATTTAATTGTTTTATGGCTTATTTATTAAATAAATCTGTGATATTATTTATTGTAAAATTATGAAGGGATTTATTACAAATATTTTGGACATGATTATATTAAATCAAACTAAAGCTTATAAAATAATATTTTCTTATTTAATGGTATATGATCTATATGTTTTAAATTAAAAATAAAAACTTAGATGAATTTAATACTACCGTGTGAAATATAATGTAAAAATTATGAATCATTAGAAAATGTACACCAACACAAGTGATCCACATTGAAGAAGTTTCATTGAATTGAAAAATATGAAAGAAAAATATCATTATATCATATATTTAAATGGTAGTTATAATGTGGTTAAATAAGAATTCATTAATAAAATTAATATTAAATTGGAGGAATATCTTTTATATTGATATTAGGTAAATTTTTACTGCATTAGTAGTATTATATTAGTACATGTTACAATAGCAACATATAGCACAATGTGACAAAATATGACATCAAAGCTATATCAATAATAAAACATCGATATATGAAACAAATAAGCAGAACGCAATTGTTTTTATCTTATTGAATATGAAATTCAATGTTACATCAGGTGGACACATGTCAGCACTACAAAAATATTAGCAGGCATGCTGCAATTTATATTTAACACTACAAGTGAAACACGTGAATTTAATAAAATAAACAGAATATAGAAGCGATCATATCTTTTTTACCTGTTATTATCGAACCACGTCGATACAGACATTTTTGATACGATACATTATACATAACAGAGACATACAAGGAAACGACGTACATGGAAACATTATTGCAAGAATATTTAATGACAATTTTGAAGCAATATGTCGGACACAGGGAAATAGAAAAAAATATCGCGAACAATAAATGAAAAAAATCCTACGATTGTTAACACATCTCAGTGAAGCACATTAGTCTTGAAACTTGATTTTACCTATTATGTCGAGAAAGCTCGGTGGATTTTACATATAAAGCTTGGTTGGCAGCCTGGTCTTCACCTCGTAAAAGAGTACGTGTTATTTAACGAATGCCCAAAGTAGTCGCTCCATATTTTTCATCGAATTTCCCATTATTCGACACTTTACGGCACAACACAACTTTTTTAACTGACATGAAACGACCCACTGGCACAACGCGCTACACCGCAGTAGTTTTTCCTTCACAAATGAAACAATGGTCGATCTGGCAACGTCGTGAACACGGAAGTGACGACACGGATGGCTCAATAGAATCACCAATTCGAATCGATCTAAAGCTATTGCTCTTAAATCATTTTCATGGCTTCGTACATAGAAACATATGTAGATCGCTAATAAAATTAGTTATGAAAAATTGATTAAATCTCCAAAATCCTTTCACCCGATGCGATTTCCATAAAACATCTATGTTTACAATTGATTACACAAAATTTCAAGTAGTTATTTCCTGTCCGCCATATTGCGATTGGCACAATAAACGATACATTATTGAGTAAAATTAATGTTCTATATTTATATTATATTACATCAAAATATAATGCAAAATTGTAATTTCCGAATATTCTACACGTGTAAGTTTTGAATATATACTACATGTAAGTACGATTAATTAGTGATATGACTACTTTCAATTTCAGTTACCTTGGTGGTAAGATTTGAAACTGTCTACAACGCTCATCTACAAAAAGAATATTACGTAAAAACTTTAATATATAAATTTTACCATTTTTATAATACCCTATATACTTTTCAGATATGCTGAGATAAAATGTTGTTAAAAGATACGCGGTAGGTGTCAGATATCCGTAAAATTTTATAGCTGTTCTTTTTCTACTCATTTGGATGGCTTCTGGTACCATTATACACGGTATAACATAAATCGGTATTCAGTTTTCAAGACTTATTTATCGAAATAGTATAGTAATTTGAGTATGCCAATTTCTAGTAATAAAATACATTTCTTTTAGATGAAGAAAAATGTATACTATATTTTAATTACAATGGTAATGTATGTACATTACTAGAAACCGAAATCGGCGTTCGTAGAAGGCCTGTAACTCCCGGAAATGGGGGGTTGCTGGGGTGATTCTGAACAACATTTTCCTTTACCAAAATGTTGTTTGAAGCTTCGTTTTTGAGTTATTAACGAAAAACACTGGCCAATCAGAGCGCGCCTTTAGCGCGGGCCGAACTACGAGAGCGTTGGCTTTCGGCCGCGCTCGGTCGTGGTCGTGAACAAACGCATTGGCACAGCGCGGGTATCGAATGAAGCGTATGATAAATATTATATCCTCTTAAATTAAGAACAATGTGGAATTATTCGTTATTCATGAATAATGAACGCGTTTGTGCCAATGCGTTTGTTTACGACCACGACTGAGCGCGGCTGAAAGCCAACGCTCTCGTAGGTCAGCGCGCGCTCTGATTGGTCAGTGTTTTTCGTTAATAACTCAAAAACGAAGCATCAAACGACATTTTGGTAAAGGAAAATGTTGTTCAGAATCACCCCAGCAATCCCCATTATCCAGGAATTACATGAGTTACGGGACACCCTGTATATTAATATATTATTCCTTTGACACTGTTCTATATCTTTCTGTAGAAAAAAATGTTAAATTGGATTTTAATATATATTCAGTCAGAAGGGTAATAGTAACAGGAAAGCACTCGTTAAAAAAAAAAAATGTCCGCATTGACCACGGGGGAACTGCGATAAGAGTTGTGACGCATTAAAAGAGGAAACTACTTAATGTAGGATGATTTGCCCATTATTACTACTTATTTTTTCGCAACTGTACATAGTAAGAACACCTGGTTAATTATAACGAGAAACCGAACAAATGAAGTATAGTAGCAGCAGAGCTTTTATCCTTATATAGTTTTCCTGAATCATAATTTTCTTATCTAATTTAAAGAACCAAACATATTTTTAATGAAATAACTTTTTAGACATAACATGGTATTACAAAACCCGTCAAAACTGTTATGTCGAGAACGATATTGTTGAAAGAACATCATCGCTATGTTAGTGAAACATAATTGTACACAATCATCTGTTTCTTGGATTACATCTTATATTACATACTGAGACACACATGTATAATGTTGCATTATATTAGAACATGCAATGACCATGCAATACCAGGCCTAGTTTGACTTCGTTGAAACGTGAAAGGTGGACAGACACAGTCAAGAGTCATATGCGAGTGCATAGATAGTAAGTTACTATCAAGTTATAAAGATATAAGACTTATCGGTTCTAAACAATTTACAAATTGTTATACTATCGATACAACTATACAAATTATTATTATTAAGAAATCTACAATATTAAGTATCCGGTGTTTTGGATCAACATAACTTATAATTTGTATTGTAAAATGATAGTATTTTTCTATCCTGTTAAATTATACGTCCGGCCGAGGATGAGATAATAAAATGGCCTTCTACGAACACCGCTTTCAGTTTCTATAATTATAAATTACATATATTTCAGATTGTTTAGTTAAAACGATAAAAAAGATAATTACATAATATTAAGCGTTTATAGTTAGTAGAGATTAATAATAGCTGTTTGTCTACTTTGCAAACATTGTTGCATAGGAGTGCGGTGCACGTTGTACGAAAGCATTGCACGTGATGTCTTCTGGCAGATATGTACCATTAATCTATCTGGTCGGGCGCAATGATTCATCGTATTCCTGAAAATTTACACTTTAAACAAGTGAAAATATCTGGCGCGAACTTATTACGTCAAGCACCGACATTTCTTTTTATTCCCGCTATTCTGAACCGTGAGCAGTTTTATACTTAGAAATTCTATTTGCAAGGTACATGTATGACATGCTCTTTTTTAAGAGCTATATAATTTAAGGAACTGTAGAAAAAGATTTTTAAAAATATACCACAGACGACTGTGACGAAATAAGTGGTATTTAAGAAAGAATTGATCAAGCGCAAATGAAGAAATCAATACGGTATCTTTATAAAAGGTTTCACACGCTACCCGAGCTAACAATAGACAACGAGAAATATTTCTAGCATTATTTACATTCGTTTTATTAATTTCAGATGTATCGAGTGTTATGGTCAGCGCTATTTCACGGTTGCATCCGATAAAACTACGGAGGCACTTGGTCATGCGCACGATAATAATACTCTGTTATTCAACCTATTCCAAGAAAAAAGAATGTTAAGTTCATGGAATGTAAACTTACTTAGAAGCAAAACAGACGTGGTCAACAAAAAATTGACAGCCTGTGTTGTAACGAAGAATGTGAGAATTACCAGAAGTATTTAAGTATTATCAGAATTACAACGTGCTGATTTTATAAAAATTCTTTTGTTTTTCTTCAAATTTTTTACTATTTCTTTGCGTACGTAAGGTCCCCGACTAGTCAGTCGGGTCGGTTCGGAAATCATCGGGCGGGCTCGGGCGGGCGTCCGATACATGCGTGCAGACGCGTAGCCCGACTATTTCGGGTTCGATCGGGTACAAACAGGCAGATTCGGACAAGCTTCCAAATTATCTTATTCCAAAATTCCATATAAAACAGATTTTGCATATGCTTATTGCATGTATTAACAAGTACACGAGAGTTGGGTCGCAGGCCGCGGCCCGCGGGAGCTCGTCCGAGTCTGCCCGACTGTACCCGACCGAACCCGAAATAGTTGGGTTACCCGACTGCACGCATGTATCGAACGCCCGCCCGATTTTTTCCGAGCCCACCCGATTTTCTCCGAGCCCACCCGAGCCCGTAATATCGGGTACCCGCACATCCCTAGTACGTTAATAATGTAGAGCAAATAACTGTAACAGTTTTAGCTATTCTTTACTCCCGACCTTGGGTGACCTTGGACAGTTCACACACCGCACAGTCTACTATAATGTCGCCTTTACAAAGATAAAAGCTATAGATTTCTACAGAAATAGCTAAAAATTCCTTTTAATCAATTAATATCAATGTATGTTGAAATAGTTATAATAAGTAGTAGCCATTTTTCATTCCTGTTTCTCAGTCACCTTAGTCAAATGAGAGGTTAAGAGAGAGAGAAATTAAAGAGAAACGACAGGTATTAATACCGTGAGCCATTTGTATAGAAATTTGCGTATTTGGCTGTAAAGGAGGTATTTTTTAAAAATAAGTATTTTGAAATAGAATTACATTTAGATGATTAGGTATGTATAACGTGTCTCACTTGGCCACAGTTCAATGTCTTGTTCAGTGCTCCTCAACTTTTGTCAACTACTGTCAATACTTTTATTTCTGCCAATAATTCAATAATTAATGCTCCTTTATCGCTACCTTTACTAACTCTAATAATTTAAAGCTCTTAACTTTATATCAGGCCATATGAAAAGAAAAGAAGTGAATTATCATTGTATTTGTTGTACAAAGGTCGCGATCAATATTAAAATACCAAAAAGGATTCTTTCGTTGCACACCGAGAAAGGAATATTTTAAAAGTCAATATTAATTCACTTGATGCCGTCATTTTTAAATGATGAATTATAATCAATAAAGTATCAGGTAAGCAACGCGATGTTGTAAATCTTGCAAAATCGTGGAAGCCGTAACAATATGGCGAAACGTTGCGATAAAAACGTTAGCGAAGATACTTATGATCTACGTTCCCGTTAAATTATGCTGTCTCCCATAAATTCTAAAGGACAGAAACTTTCTAATATGTAATATTTTTCACAGTACGTATAAAAGGTGTAATTTTATATTTACAAGTAAACGATGAGAAACAATATTGTATGGTTGAATGGAAATGCGAATAAAACATAACATTTCTGTGCGGAGACAAATAAATATTTAATTTGAAGAACTCTGCACAATGTCGTGCTACGTTAATTATCGATCTGTTCGGAGAGAGAGATACGCAGTGGAGCATTCTTAACAAAGGTATAAAAAAAAGTGCTTATGGAAACAAAACTACGGCACGCGGCTATTGTGGCTCTATTGTTCCTGACGCAAATACATATATGATGCCTAGAAGTGTGTATACGATCATGCTTTCCTTTGCTATTGCCATACGTCATTGATGCGCCAACAAAAAATTATTGCTATGTTCTTTTAAAATATTCATTTTATGAGGAAAACTTTTCCCGTTCATTTGATTGTATAATATATAAATATATAACTGATAAGTTTCATTAATTAATTATTCATTCACGTATTAAACTTAATAATAATTACTGTCACATTTTATTCAAATGAATTTTATTTCTTCAATCATGGATTCTAACTGAATAAATTATAATATTTTATATGCTCGTTATTTAAATTTCTTTCTTTTTCCTAACAAACGCCATCTGTTTAGGCTTAACACGATTTTCTTGGATCGTGTGCTATTTTTAAGGTTAGGGAATCAAGATCGGAATTCGATTCAAAAATTTCTCCTGAACGTATAGAATGCCTGCACGTGATGAAATTGCACACTCAACGTGGTAGTTATTCTACGATTAAGTAGAGAAATGATAGGAAATTATACGTATGCTATATTTATTTTTATCAAGGCAGATAAAAAATGACGATTGTTGTAGTATATAATATAGTACGGGTAAGAACGTGATTTTTTCATTTTTCTAATTGATTTCTGTATTCATTATTTTCAAACGAAATCGATCGATCTTTCACTATTCATTATATAGAGTTATTGTTGCTTATCAAGCTCGAGACATCAGCGTCCTTGTAATTTTAGTTATCAGACGTGAAAGATGTTTTACCGCTGAACGTAAAACAAAATTCCTTCCCAGGACAGATATGTAAAGGAAACGCGTCGATTTGGTAAAACGTGGTGATCTAACCATCTCGGTTTCAATTTTATATTTAGCTTCAACAAAAGTATCGAACCAATGAAGCAAAAGTTCTTGTGCCTAAAAATCGCACAAAGCCCGAGCGCGAAACAGCTATCAGTTGCAACCAATTTTTCCGTAGTTCACTGTTTTTAAACAATACATCTGCATTCGTATTACGAAACAATTTACCGAGATAGCGAACTGACGTAAACCAGGAAACGTTGTTTGTGACAATCAGCTGCGAGTGATTATCGAGTTGAAACGTGAGAGTACTCGTTTTGTATGTCTCACAAAAAGAGAATGGTGCGTAGTTCAAAGTCCAGAAAAAAAATTTTCTTCACTTTTCATTAACCCACAGCACTTGTCATTATGAAATTCACGATTACATTACTTATTTACGAATAAGATTTTTAATTATCTACATTCACAAAAGTGTTATTCAAAAGTTTGAAAAATCCAAATACTTTTTAATCTATCTTGTATTCCAGGCCCTCGAGGGCCATCGAAACAACTTCATAGCTGTTTTTCAAAGAGCCTTAAGCCTTTCTTCGACAGTTTGCATAAAATAAAAAGAATGGTGCACGATGAATGATATGCGAAGTAACGGGACGATAAGAAATAAGGAAAAAATAAAATATTAAAGTGAAGCAGGGTAGTGAAATATAGTTTCCAAAGTACAAATGACAATACAGGTGTATAGAGAAGTTGTAGTGATTTAATGTCGCGTCGACTCATCGACCGTGGACTTTCGATTTAGTATGAAATATAAAAGGATTCACGTGAATCCGTTGTCATATGGTTTCGTATAAAGTTTTGCAATAAATCAAATTAAAAATCCAAGTTAAATATAAAGAACACTTTATATGCTAAAACAATATCAACTGTCACTCAGAGTGCTTTCTTTTTTTATATTCAATGAGGCATGATTTTACAGGTCCAGAAGCGTGATCAATGTTCATATCATGATCAAAGAGGCGTATCTTAAATATGGTGATCTGGATAATTTCTTGGAAATGATGACAGATGAAAGAAAAGAGAATTAATCCGCGGTTAACACTCGATGGACATTAAACTGGTCGTTTTATTGACTATAATTTGGACGGGAGGGATACAAATAGATAGATGACGAAGCAACTCTTTGGAACACACCTTGAAAACAAATTGACGCAGTCACACGGTCTGTCATATATCATAAACCAAACATCAAGAAACATTTTTGGCAACAGTTATATTCTATAGCTATAACAGAATATTTGTATGATGTTACTCACTAAAATATTGTCACGTGCACCAAAATCAAACTCTTCTTCTGGTAGGTATCATAGCAAACGAATTAACTATAAAAAATTCGACACGTGGTATTTCACCGATGAATATGTAACGCGCGCGCACACATCGCGATGTCTAAACTTCTTATGGATGGAACGAACACAATTGCAGACAAGTAACAAAGAGAGAAACTAAGCAAAAAATGAGAAAGAGAGGGAGAAAGACGGGTAACCGTAACAGTAGAACCGTCACCAACGTCGAAATACTACTGACTGTTGGCGTCGGATTTCAATCAGGTTATGCAAACCCTATGAAGCCCCCACTTTACTTCTTTCCTCGTATACCTACGCACGTGACTTACCAATGCGTTCCACATTTAAGCAAAGTCTTCTATATACATTTGTCTGTGTAAACGCGTCACATACAACTTGTATACTACATTCGCGTAAATAGTTTGTAAAAAAAATTAAATATTTTAACCTTTAGTACGTACATATTTGTTTGTTTTTGCATGAATAATTATACCTAAATAATTCTACGTCATATCGTGTAAGCTAAAAAACATTATATGCTCGTTTATGTAAAATGATTTATATGAAATAAATCTGTTGTAATTATTCCTCATTTGGTATTTATCATTTGTACCCGAGAACCGCGATTAGTACGTAACGTCAGATTAATTTCATTCTGATACAGATTTTTTCTATGGAAAATTAGAAAGCGATTTTGAAACATTTAATTCTTAATAAAGCAATTAAAATTTGATATCAGAAGTATGCAAGAAAAGTTTTTACCTAATTTAAAATAATTTGAACAAGATCAGATTCAGCATCATTTCATTCGAAAGACATTTAGTTATCATAAAATTTTTATAAATACTGAATAAATAAATACATACCTATCTTCTTATCCTTTTGTATTTCGCGGGCAAACCAAAAGTTTAAACAGCGCCATCTATCGAGAAGTGCTGGCAACTGCTCTCCTGGGACCAGGGTAGCAGAATGCGAAGGAGTGGCACCAGAGATTGCCTACCCCCACTCCAAAATGGCGCCACCTGAAACAAACACTTATTGTTCATTAGAGAGAGATACTTCCTAATTTTTCTACGAAGTGGATAACAATTTAGGCACTTTCAGAATTGTAGAATGTAGTTACATACATTAGCTGTTTTCTAGTATCAGAGTTATTAACATTCCGATAGTAATTAATGATTATATGTAATGATATTAGTAATTATTGTGACGACCGCCGAGATAAAAACAGACACGAGACTACAATTTTCGATTATTTTTTGACTTTCTGAAATTAATTTCCGCTTGTTTGTTATTGAAGAATAAAGTATTGAGTATTAGCTACTTTCTCATATCGTTTTTGATAAGATTTTTGATGTAATTAATCAATCAATAATAATTTTACACCCGAACGCGTGATTGCAATCGACACGCGGTGGATATATTTTACTGATTCCTCGATTTCTCTTTATTAATCAACGTATTTGTTGATTGAGGAATAAAGTGTTATGTCGTAGCAATTTTCTGATATAACTTTTACTACTATTTTCCTCAAGAATAATGTATTATTAATAAATTTTAGAGTCACTGTTTCTTTCCGACCACATGTCCAGTCAGCGTATTCATTAATAACTAATTAATTACAGCCCAAATCCTAACAAAACCTATATAAAATAGAAGCTACTAGACGAAACTTTATTCTGCAATCATAAAAGTGCATAAATTGTTGCTGAAAAATGAATAATTAATTATTGTTCATTGTTAGTATATACTTATATGCATTGATGCGACGCCATGACGTAGTGGGGGTAACGGGAGTGGTACTTCCCCCACTCCTCTGCCGCACAATTGAATACCTCCTGTGCCACCTCTTTTAAAATTCTGCTATCCTAATACAAAAGAGCAGTCGCCGACACCTCTCAAAAGATGGCGCTGATGAAACTTTTTTCTGGGCGCGGAATTTAACAGAGCGGAAAATCAAATTCGAACATTTACTTATTCAAGTATACATATACTTATGTATCATATATCGGGTTCTTATATGAATTTTAATAAATCAATTATATGTCTAATTTATAAATCACTTATTGATAAATAACTAGAATTTATTGTTTAAATGTAATTGTATTACATATGTTATATCATAACAAATGGTTGATTCTGAAACATAGACAGTCTGATTTAATTTTATCACATAAAAATAACAAGAAGTATTACTTATGACATATCAATTTAAAGCTTAAAATCTAATTAAAATTATTGCATAAATACTTTTTTAATATTCCTAATACCAAATGGTTGGTTCTTTATCAAAATAAACAATCCCTTGGAAAGAAAACTGGAGAAGAAATTGAAAAATTAACCAACGTTCATTAAGAATATTAATGAAATATTTATGTAGCTATTTTCATAAAATCATAAGCTTTAAATTGATATATTGTAAGTGCTATTTGGTAATACTTTTATGTCATCAAATCATGTCTTCATATTGAACATAACAGGGTGCAGAATGAATAAAAATTAATTTTATTTTTACAAATGTATTAAACGAATCGATATACCTGGCGATTAGATCACAGATCTATTGAAGTATTTACAAAATTCGAGTACGTTGCAATTGAATTTTGATCTTTATCAGTATAATTATCATCAAAGTTCAACATTCAAGTGTTCTGCTTTTTAATCAATGATTGTACCAACGCACATACGAGGCGTATGTCATTTAACAGACATTTAATCAGACGTATAAATAATATATTTGACGTGTTTATGGACGTCCTCTTGGTCATTTATCATACGCATATTCCTCTTGGAATTGTTTCACCGTCAGAATTTTTCCATCTAAAAAACAATAACAATTTCACCGATCAATATTAAAACAATTAACAATGTATTTCAAATTTTATATCCAGATGTTCGTGCGATTGTTTAATTAAAAATCATAAGTGCGATTGTCTGTACAACAGCAAGATTACAATCTTCCTGAAATTTATATCAGCCTTTTACAACAACCTAAACGCGATTATTATTTGCGATCACCAGATGTTGCCAGTGTGTATTCGTTGATAACACGAGTACTCGAGATTCTGCTTCTATCTATTTAATTACTCAACAATCCAAAAATATTGGCTGAACGTTTTATCAGCACGGGGGTGTGGCACAAATAAGTACATATACTAACTTTACTCGTTGTATAAACCTGTTATTGTATAATTATATAATTAATAAAGTATGCGATGAGATTTTAACATAACTGGTAATTATAAATTTCCACCTTTCAATTTCATATCTTACATTATTAATAGAATACACTAAGCAGAACATTATCGGTGCATATATAGTATAAATCAATTTAGAATCACGTGAAATTTGATCAAGTTACATAAAATGTCGAGTAGATTTATTTTTAACATTGTCACAGAGATAAAAATGTAATAACCAAGATTCGATGAAGCTCTTGCTTAGGTTCTTATACTTGATCAAGGTTTACCGTTTATCTTAAACGGAGGTCATACACGTTTCCGACATTCAATAAACAGAAAAAGAAAGTCTCTTCTATCGTATTTTAATCAGTTTCCCTGATTTAGTAATAAGAGTTCAGAGAAATAGAGAGTTTAATACTGTTCAACAAATAAGATAATATTTATCAAGGCCACCATACAGCACATTAGATGACAAGAAAACAGTGATAATTGGATGATGTCTGGGTGGAAGAGATTATTTATCACTGTATAAGTTGGATAACTAAATGTACTAGTTCCGGGTCAACGTATGACCATATAAATTAAAAGAATTTTTAACGTGACAAAAGTGTCTCTTCTTGTTTGATGGTTTATTTGGTAGCTTCAGGTACAAAAGTCGCTACATATTTTTCTTCAGTACAAAAATATAGAAGAGAATCATTTCTTAAAATTAAATATCATGCATAAATGCATTTTTCTATTCGATATCTAAATGATATTTCATCATCGAAGACTCGTGTTTAGGAAGAGAACGAAGAGATGACGCATTGAAGTTGTTTTCAAATGATTTCTTCAACTTCCTAGAAGTGCGTAATCGTGTACTGAACACGAGTATTGTAAGATCGAGCCACTAATCTCGTGCAACGTTTGATACATAATTTATCTTGCTATGTAGATAATTACATCTCGATCAGTTACTTCAAATTACGAGTCTCTTTAATGCATGATGCTTATGTACAATATTATATATGCTTCTCAAAGCCAGTATTTACATTTATGATTTATGATAGTAACTCTGTTTGCAACGTGTAAGCATGGTAATCAATTCTTTTTAATGTTCTTTTATCATATGATATTTAGGACATTTTAGTACAGTTTACAAGCAAACATTTGGCAATGACGTAGTGCGATTATAAATATTTTTAATCCCCTGTTCAATGTTGTGAAGAAGCAACGTGATATCTGTATGTAAATATTCATCTGTAACGATAACTTGTTCAGTTTGTGAAATTAAATGATCCTTTCAGCAGTTTCAAAACAATTTCAGTAAGTTTATATCAATAAACATGATAAAAATATTTTCCTAATAATTAACTGTATAAGATCAGCACACCACATGAAATCATTACTCGACTTCAAAGATTCAAAACAAATATAACAATTTTACTCATTGACTCCATGTAGAAGATAAAATCTATAATCATGATAAAAATAGAAGATTAAAATAATATTTCTTTAGAGTTGCACTACTGGCCTCACCTTATCAGTTCTTTCATTCTAATTAAATCCATTTGACATTTCCTCATCATCGATTAATACTGATAACGCGCACCTTTTGACATATCACAATTTCAGAATCCAGTAGATTGTGCAAGACTCTATTGTACATCACAATTCAGTCGTAGCGACCCCCCAGTATTGCTGCATCCTTGTCGCATCCTGTTCCAAAGAGTCTAATCCGTTTCTTTCCTGAATGACAGCGAAATCGTATTCGAGATTGTACGGCATTAGCCTCTGCAAGCTACCGAAATAAGCCGCATTTGGTCCCCCGTTCAGTAATCTCCTTCCGCTACCAAATCGTACAATCGGTGCCCTCGGTAGGGAAGGATTAAAAGACCTGGCACTTCCGAATCTCTTCGATAGAAAAGGCAAATTGCTTCCTAATTGAGGCGTGGATCTCGATTGTCCACGTCGTAAAGGGGTTCTCGTTAGAGTGTCCAATTCCTTGTCGAATAACAATTGAGTGTTCTGTTCGAGCATGTATTCCCAACAACGGAACTGTTCCTCGCTTAGCGCACCTGATCTCTCAGACATGGTATCCTCTTGGGCTGTTACACACGTTGATACCTGTCAGAATATATTAACAAAATTACAGTACTTTATATAACAATAATTCATTACTTTCTAGAGGAAAATGATAATTATAATTTGATATATCCCCTCCGCTCGTTCGTCGTATCTCAAGAATGTGTTGACTCTAAGTTCAATCGAAGCTTTAATTAAGTAGATAATTAGGCAGTTGTATCTCAAGAATGTGTTAACTGCTGAAGTCGAGACTCGGTTTGATTATTGATGATACTTGTATGGGTAAGTTTTAATCCAAACTGGCTATCGGTGCTATTTGAAAATACAGTTTACGGTATTACCTTTCTAGTACCGTTTTCATTGACGAAAACACTTTGACGAGCTTTGTTCGTGGCCCTGGAGGCTGCGCTTCCGGACCACACTCTGCCGGAAGGATGCCTGGATTTGAAGGTGCTATCGCTGGCTTGATCGGACTGACCACTAGGTGAACTTCTGTCGTCTTTATACGGTGGACTTTCATTCTCTTGGGTGGATCTCCTATTTTTAAAGTATCTATTGGATCCATTGTGAGCTTTATTTGATCTATAATATCATTACAAATTTAATCATCATTTCAAACATCGTAGTCAGTATAATTTGTAATAGAAGGAACAAAGAATTTCAAGTTGTAAAATAAAGGCTCCGTTGTTTCATGGTATTCAAAGTGTTACTAGTTGTTTCTGTATTCCAACAAAGTTCTCGGAAACTTACATTACGTATTTCCACTAGAACATTCTCACCTGTTCACTATGCTCTTCAGCACGCCATTTAAATAATAGCCCTCGCTCGCGTGACAACAGCAAGGTCCCGGTGGTTTATGAGCAGCCGGTGGCATGCAACAAGGACAAGGACATCCTCCCTCGGTCTGACCTCTGTTTTTCCCAACGGCATGCCTCAATTCCCTCATAAGTTGATCTAAATCGCCTTGATTAGGACCAGTTAATCGTACGACTATAACGCTCAAATTATCCTCTGCGCCATAAGCCTGCGCTAAATCCTGGAGCCTTTTAGCAGCCAATACAGGACTCGCTTCGGCCCTGGCTTCTCGTACAGCTTCCTGAATGCTCAACACCTCCCACAGTCTTCTATTAGCAATTACCACGAATTCATCGTCGTCTTCAAGGTCCACCTCCTCGAAGGTTGGATCGGGAACTACCATGGGGAACATAGCAGCGTTCCCTAATTGATTTCTTACAGGAAACTTTTTGGCTGGCGCTAGGGTTAAAGGGCCAGCAGCTCTGCAGAGAACTGCTTTCGCATCCCCCGAAGAAGCTACTTTCAAAGAATACTTTGTCGCTGGTTTTGGATAACCCTGTTGAGATTGAATTTTGACAATGTGCACCAACGTTGCATCGATTCCATACTTTTGACCCTTTTCCTTCAGCTCCCTGTGAGCTGAGAGCAACGTGTATTTTAAATATTCTTTCGATGTTTCCCTGACGGTTCTTTCTTCTAGTAGGAGACGAGGTATCATTTCTTGAAGAGCGTTGGGTGCTTCCTGGTTCGAGCCACCGTCGAATATACCGAAAAGACCTTCCACGTTGCAGAACGATGGCATTCTAACTTGTGAAACGTATAATCTATGAATAGAAATAGAGAAATTAGTTGGAATTTAAATAGTTATCAGATCTAAAGAATATTATATCAAATATTTGCTTTTACCTTTCTCTGGATCCTGCTGTTTCAGAGAATCCCAGTCTCCACGGTTGATCGGTACCCTTCTCAGCGGAAACAATCTCTTGCTGATGGGGGTGAGAGGGTAAGCTCGGTCTATTTTGTCCTGACACATCGACTAAGGATATCGGTCGTTGAGATCTATACACTTGGAATTGTCTGGGATCCACGTGGAGTCTCGAATTGCAGGATATATCAAGAAATTGAAGCTGTGGCGGTACCAGGGTGGCCAGATTTACTCTGTCCAGTTGATTATGGGCTAAATCTAGTACCTGGATAAAATACAATTTTCTCAAATAACAGAAACAGAAAAATAGATCTATTAAATTACCAATAAATTTCCTCCAATTATTTCTCTATCTTTATTTTAAGAAAATATCAATCTTAAGTTCTACAATTATCTTGTATTATCTTCTAACGATCTCTGTATTTTTATCGTCACCTTCAACGATGCTGTTTTATTGAATGTCGGACAAGTTAGAAGTCGATTGGAATGGACACGCAGCACTCGTAAGTGTCGTAAATTAGCCACGTTATCCGGTAGATATTGAAGACGGTTACCAGATAGCACTAATTCTTCCAGGTCTCTCCACGAAGCTATACAACTGCAAATTGACGATGTTTTAATGTAACAGTGAAATTATTATCAAGCGATGAGAATCTTACCTTTCTGGAAGAGTATCCAGGGTGTTGTAAGCTATATGAAGAACTCGCAAGGAGTTCAATTTCGCCAAAGTATCCAAGGCAGTGTCCGTTAAACAATTCGCCGTCAAATACAACTTTTCCAAACTGTGATTACTGGGTCGACCTTTGTTCCCCTCTCCCAAGTGAGGAAGTTCTGATAGCCGATTATTGGAGAGGTTCAGGACCTTCATCCTAAAGGAAAGATTCTAATCAGTGCAGGAATTTCTTTTATTTTCAACTATAAATTAATATAATATAGATTATCTGGTATAATTTATTTTCACTTCAAAGATATAAGAGTAATAAATGTTAAAAGTCATTTTCTCTATCAGGATTACATATGACGTACGGATCGATTGCATACTTTTCAGTGTTGACGAAGAAACTCATCGGTAACACTGTCAGTGCATTGTCTTGCAGAGTCAAGTGAACGATGTTTAATGGTTTCCGGGGTGGTGGAAGAGCCTGCAGCCTATTGTGAGGTAAGTGAAGAACCTCCAGTCTCGATGGCTGTGTTAGCAGCCTGTCTGGAAGGGCTGTTAATGTATTGTGGGATGCAAAAAGTGCACGCAACACGGGTAGATCCGGTGTCCATTCCGGAAGTGCATCTAAATTATTACTAAAATAAAAATAAATAAAATAGTTTTCTTGATATTGCAAATAGTATAATTTGAAATTAGTACTTGCAAAAATAAATTTTAATAAATAGATTAAATTAGAAAAAATAAATAAATTAGAAAAATGTTATTCAATTTAAATCATCAGAAATAATATCTATGATAATTAACTTGGTTCAAAGATTCTTCTCCGTCAGCGAAATTATATATTATAAACTATAATCTCGTTATGCGAGATATCCTAAAACAACATCATACATAATCATACGATTTCATTACATAACAATATTATATAATTTATCAAAAATACCAACAACTCTTAATTAAAAAACAAAAATAATCGTTTTTATTACTTACTAAGATACATCCAAATGTTCAAGATTCACCGGTACCGGTTCGATAGTTAATTTTTTCAGTTCTGAAATAAGGATAAGTTAAATGTAATATTCCAATTATTATTTGTGCTGTTTGGTAAGAGGATAACGAAGAGGTCTTACTATTATTTCCAGCAATAAGAGAAATAAGATTTCTCCCGCAGACCGTAAGTTCTGTTAAAAGATTTCGCGCGCAACGAACGCTTCTTAATTCTTGAAGAGCACTGATGTCCAATTTCTCAATGCTATTTTCACTCACGTCTAGATGCGTTAAATTCTTGATTACAAAGAAAATAGAAACGAGAACGGTGAATAATTATTTCAAGGGTATCATTTATTATGTATATTTCTTATTAAAAAAGTGCTTACTCCGTAATTCCCAAGAATTATGTTCCCTTTCAATTGATTATTCCTTAGGTTGACTTTGTATAAATTATTCTGATTGTTTTTTTCATCTCTGTATACTTTACTGTGCTCACTCTTTGACAAGACATCCTGGAAATATTAAGAATAATTTTCAATAACTGTCTTTTGAAAAATTATTTTGTAAATTCAGCAGACTGTATTATGAATATTTTGCAATTTTTGGATGAGATATTCGAGAAATATTTAAAAAATATTTTTAACTCCAGTGAGATAATATAATAATGCGAATAATGAATAAAAATTATATATGTATTATTTTCTTAATATGTATTCATATGTATTTTAAAAATTGGTTTCTGTATTTTTTTATATTTAATAAATGTTTTTCGAAAATTTATCCTCTTCTTTGAACATTTTTTCTTAATACAATTAAATTCTAAAAATTGTCAGTAGAGTGATCAGGGCGAATGGTTGGTATATGTACGGCCCTGAGTCATGGGTTGTTCCAATGGGCGCCGCTAGATGGATGCATCCGGCAGCGCTTTCCCGAATGTAAAATGCGCTGGACGGTGCATATAACCAGGCTCGGGACAGTGTATCGTCACTCTGGTTTCCCTTCAAATCACGCATAAATCTTTCGCCTTTTACTAAAGATTTCCGTGGAGGGGAACAATTGATGAGTCTATAGACTAATTTTTTGTGTGCCCGGCGCAAGCTGGGTCGTAATTAAATAAAAACATAATTAATTATTTAGGAACTATAATATTCTAAATAATGGAATATTACTAACAGTAAAAATGTATCGCTATGAATAAAATTATTAGCGAGAGATACTTTAACAAAATCTGTAAAGTGTTAACACTACACAAGTATATTTTTTACTTCTTAAAAACATTTTTATAAGACTAATTACTGAAGATCACTGATTGTGCTTTTATTATATTGATATTTAACGATATTAGTTTGAAAGAAATTCTTAGAGTGTTTATAAATATATTTAGCCCTTTATAAATAGAATTTTTAATATAACTTTCTAGTAAAAAATGTATGTAACTTTTCGTAAAGTTATGTAATAAATTCTCTTATGTATTTCCTGATAGAAAATGATCAGAATATCTATATAATTATTTATTTATCATCTACTAGTGATAATTGCAAGTAGTATGTATATTTTATCAAGATATCTTTATTATATGTTACACGAATCACGTGAGTTGAAAATGATAAAATTGATTAGGTCTGTTCCACTTATATAAATATATCAAAAATCGATTGAAAACACATGTTATTAAGACCAATGATTTTCAAGCAATTTTCATTATCAATATAATCCTTTTTTTAAATTGCTTCTCGTTCAAATCACGTATAGCAAACACTTAATCATGCTGTTTGTCGATGATCAACGCCTGTACAAAAAAAAATTGCAAACATTTGTTATCTCGATTTCTTAGACAAGAGGTACTCAAAAGCGAGTACAAAAAATTTGCAAAAATTATTATTTTTTCTAATAATTCTTCTGTCACTTCCCAAATTAAATCAATGAAATTTTCAAAGAAATTAACAAACGAATCCTTCCTTTTTCTTAAGGTGTTAATTAATTGGAACGAGTCTGGTCGGATTCGTCAGGTCGGAACTGAATTTGTGCAATGCGATTTGCTCGATGGTTCCGCGGCCATTCATCGTAACGGTACAGCTGCGCGAATTTTGAATTACAAAATACTTTAATAATTTCATGAAACGTATAGACGTACCGTTAGCGCAAGAGTTCGCATGTTGAAGGAAGATGGAAGATCGTTCAGGCAATTTCCAGCCAAGGAAATGTTTCTCAAGTTCTTCAGCTTGCCGAGCTCGTGCGGCAACTCTTTGATTCCATTACGATCCAAGATTAGCTCTCTCAGGCTTAAATAAAATTATAGTTATTATTAGTATCGTATTCCACTTGCGTTCAGATCATTGTTCAATAAAATGTACATTTTTAAATAAGGTATAGGATATGGTAAAAATAATTCATTTTCACTAGTTGATTACTCAGAATAATTACTTTGTTATTAAAATTAAATTTGCAAATATTTTATAGCATTCTTCGTATCCATATATTTCTAATATAATAATACAATAATAAGATGTTTTATTAATATTTAATTTCTATTTGGAGTCGATTTAATTTCCTTATCTAATTTCAACATTTTAATTACAAATAGCATCGCATGAAAAAATAAAAAATATTTCTCTGATTAGTCCGACAAAATTGTATCGAAATTTCCGGCTGATGGTACGCCTATTGAATGAATCAAGATGAATAAACATTACAGTTAGTGGTGCAACGTGGTCCGATGTCAATGCACGTTGCACCCTGCACATTGCGCGGACAAACGAATCGGTGAACCTAAACGAACGGGGCCGCCCACAGGATGTGCACTTGAGTAGAAAGTTTCGAATTATGGTGAAAACCTTCCTGCCAGTAAGCATCTGTGTCATCGGATGGACTTTCAGTTTTTAAAGTAAAATCGAAATGTGCCGGCCGGAAGTAATTGAAGCTAGACGTTTGATCATGTTAGACGATTTGTCGTAACGTTGCGTAACATTTTATCATGAAATATTTTTATTAATTTACTACTAAATAAATTATTTTTTTTCTATATATATTTAGGTTGCTTAAAAAAATAAGAAACTTCAAATTTTAATATAAGAGAAAAATTGATGGTAATATATATTTTTTTGTTATTCAGATAAGTGGGGTAATTATACTCATGATTCTTAATTTGGAATCTTGCAGAACAACGTTAATTAAAGAAAAACGTTTCAAATTAGAGGGAATAATTTTCTGATTTAAAGTGGAAACTCTCGAATGGTAATTACCGGAACACTCGAACCCTTCAACCCTTCAACTAGATCGGATCGCCATATTGCATCCTCTTATTCGGCCCCTCGAGCACGCACTTATTTCCAGAGCACGCGGCCACTTCTCACCTGCTTTACCATTCCTTATTCTTCGGCCACTGCACACGCTGTTTAAAGAACGAGAACACCTCTAAAGATCTCGAGTATCCTCTCGAGTATTCCGGGACGCTTCTTAGCGGAGACAGTGAATTCTTCAGAAAAACTTCCCTCGCGTTTTTCACCCATTCATAATGCGTTCAAATATTCATCGTCCCCGTTCTTCCTATCCATTTAAAACGTATACCTTGATAATGGATTCCTTCAGAACATCAAGTTTATTCTATTTCTTTTGCCTTCTACGTCTATCAGATAATTCTGCTCCTTTCCTCTCAAAGATTCCTTCGCTTTTGTATATTTCACAGATTTTTCGACATCGTATTACGCGTACGGTAAGCTTTGTATATTTCACGAGAAATTCTTCAACATAGATAAAATTTCACTCGAAAGTCAAATAAGCTGTGTGAAATTTTATTAAATGAATTCTAGCAAATGTGCCTTCACCTAGAAGCCTCTGATTTTCTTAACAGTCAACATTCAAAGTTCCTTCAACAACTCGAATAAATTGCATCCAACATAAATTAGGTATAAAAAGTTTCTTCAGGGTAAGAAGTGAATTCAGAATGACTGTCTTTCAAAATGAGCTGATTCATCCTCTGGTGAACAGATTCAGAAGATTTGATTTTTTTCATTTATCACTTTTGGAAGCTTATCGCAACCAAAGTCGCATTAAGAAACTCGAGGAGTACCAACTATTCGAAGATTTTGAAATTTCGAAAAATCCAGATGCCGAAGGGTTTATCGAATTTTCCGAACTGATAAACTTGAAAAGTATCCCGACCGCTCGAAAGTTTCGGTGATCCTCGAAATTCACGAGTTCAATGACCTCTCCGCACGGTTCAACAAATCTCGGAGAGCTTCTCCTATCAAGTAGCTCGATTTCTTCAGCTTTTGGTAAACGACGTTATTCCAGTTGGCTCTAGCAACGAATAGAAGTTACAAAAGCTGGTGCACACTCGCGCGAGTTCTTCGGAGGACTAAAGAAGCGAGGCGAAGCATGTCCAAGGTATTCCTTGGCCGAGGAAGAGGGAGATCAAGGATGGCTTGGCTGACCACTCTGATGTAACAGAATAGAGAGATTAGACTCTAGTGGTGGTAGAACTACGAGATTTTAAGAATGTTGCTATAATTAATCACTAAAGATTTTTAATTAATCGTTAAAGATAATTAACCCTTTCGAATTAAAGGGTATTTGACAATACCAAGGTTCGCCAGTTGTTACTTCTGATCTTATAACATTTGTACCATTTTTAAATTTTATTTTTTCAAACTTTGCAATATTTAATTTTTCTATTTTCCATCTTTTAATAAAATTAAATGAGAAATTGTCCATCGAGTGCAAAGGGTTAATATTTATTTGGAAAAGTCTTTTTCCAAAGTCTTCTTCTTCTTGTATATCTGTTCACGCCTCGATGTACACGGCAATACGAGCGATGTGCGCTCTTTTTGATCGGACACTCTGATCGGGAAGTAAATTACACAGTTCCAGTGTTTAGCTCGCATTGTGTTCCGCGAATACAGCTCGTTCGGGGAAAGGAATCCTAATGATAAGGAGCTTTTAAATTACTTCGGTAAGGGTTCTTGTTCCTTGGGTTGGTCAACTTCAAGTCGTTAGGTAGATTCTCCTTTAAGATCTTCAACAATGTTGCTGTAGCTTCTCTCATACCGTGTTGAATATTTTAAACGGTTCTTTTGTCCCTACGACGAGGACAAGGGATTATTTAAAAATTCCTCTATTAATTTCATTCGATTAATGCACCTCTTCCGGTTAATTTTAATCACCGTAAGCAATTCTCTTTCTCTTATAAATAATGAAAAAATTCATCCACGTTAAACGAAAAGCTGAATTCCTTCTAAAAATTATTCTGCTTCAATTATCACCTGAAACGTGTTCTCATTTTAATTACATTTAATCTGCTGAATTTTTCAGGTACAATAAAAATAAATGAATCCTCGACGAGCAGTTTAAGCTGTAATTCGAAGAATGATCAATTACTGAGTCCTCGGTATAACCAGTGATATAGTAAATTAACATCGCCAATTACTGAGCAGCTATGCTTGTTCCGTATCTTGTTAACCAGAACCATCTAACACGGTTAGGAACTTGTTAAAATTCATCCTGAGCACATAACTTCCTGAAGATTACGTTCATCGCATCGTACAATAATTACTTTCTGTATTCGTTTAGGAATAAACAGTACATTACACTCTGTTTGCATAAAAAGAAAGTTTAACGCGTTAATTACTATAAAAATCATCGATGAAGAGCATAAAAAATTTCAAGTAACCAAATGATTAATATCACAATACTGAGGCAAGGAAGGAAATAGAAAAAGCTAGTGTTTCAATTAATTGGAAATCTTCGCATTAATTCGTACGGTGGTTCTTCTTCTTCTTTTTCTTCTTCTTCCGTTGTTTTATGCGCCACTGCACCACGATGGACGACTTCTGGCCGTTCTGTTGTTGCCCAACTCCATTCTAGCAGGTCAGCTTTTGCATTCGGGCTCGTGTGCGTGTCCTCGCACGCGTTCTTCCCGCCGCGTGCACCGTGTAGAAACACGGGGGAATCGAGCTGGTGTCGGTGTGCTAGCACCGTAGTTCCTTCTTCAGCGGGGCTTTGGTATCCTCGTTTCCGCTCGGTGGAAAGCCGTTTTCGAGGAACTTTACGTAATCGCCGTCTTAATTACAGCGACTCCTCGCAATTCGTCCGACTTGACGAGCCGATTTCGCCGATTTATTAAACGCCTCCTTCGTCTTTCCTCGAATTTTAACCCTTTATGTGTTGAATAAAATAGATATTTTACCTGGGACTCGATCGCTGTGCGTCACAAGGTTGACCACGCGATATCGCGTGATCGACTATTCGACGTCTCCTTTGTCTTTCCTCGAATTTTAACCCTTTGTACGTTGAATAAAATAAATATTTTACCTGGGATTCGGTCGCTATGTGTTACAAGGTTGACCACGCGATATCGCGTGATCGACTATTCAACGTCTCCTTTGTCTTTCCTCGAATTTTAACCCTTTCTACGACGAATAAAATAAATATTTTACCTGGGATTCGGTCGCTATGGGTCATAAAGTTGACCACGCGATATCGCGTGATCGACTATTCAACGTCTCCTTCGTCTTTCCTTGAATTTTAACCCTTTCTACGTTGAATAAAATAAATATTTTACCTGGGATTCGATCGCTATGCGTCACAACCGCGTGATCGACTATTCAGTATTAACTATCGATCAGGCGATTGCGCGTGGCTGGTATCGAAGGGGTTGAAAAATTAAATTACAAGAAAAGAGGTCAGGATACTTGATTCTCGGCAACTGTATCAATAAACCCATGGTACTTGCTCTACTTTGATCACTGAACGTGTAAACACGTTAGTACTTAAACCTTTCCCTTTTATGTGCAGTAGTGAGCATAGTATATTTACCTAGGGAAAATGATGGTATAAGGGAAAGAGGTTCCATCATTCGTGTTTGCTAAGGAAAATTTTATGTAATGTTCATTTTATTAGTTATATATTAAATTTTGTGGTATTTAATAGGTGAAGTTATATTAACTTTGTAGAAATTAATTTTGATACTAATGTCTTTCTAATTGGAATTTTGTTCAATCGAACGAGTTTCCAGGAACGACGAGTGCCGATATCGATTTTCAGTACCATGCCAGTTCCAATTATCCATGGATTAGGCAATTTATCTTAATTAGCACATCGTCGACTAGGTAAGGGCGTTACGGATGCAAGGAAATCGGCAAATAATATATCTGACTCGGTGGTTCGTTCGATTAATTAACGGATAACTTTCTATTATCGGCGACCGGAAGTCGGGTTGATTTACCGGCGGATCTACGACACGATAAACTTCGATTGCCTTTAGAACGTGAATTCTCTGTTAGAGCCATTCTGCGTGAATACGTGCGTTTAAGGAATGTTCCTAATTTATCGTTCTGTAATTCTAAATTCTTTATTTTAATAAAAATATTTATTCTAATAAAGAATGTTCATCATTTCCACCCTTCAGTTATTTATTATTAATTTAATAATAAATTGAAAATTTAATAATAAATATAAAACTAACCCTTTCCATTTTGGGGACAAAAGTTAATAGACAGATGGTTCAATGAAAAATTACTTCAATTTTCTTCAATATTTTTAAGATTAAAAAGTACTAATAGATAAATTTCTATTGCAAAATTGCAAAATTTTCAATTGAAATCCACAACTACCGCTGTTGAACATTTTGATTGAAAGATATTATTTATTTAAACAGTATATTCTTTTCGTAAGCAACCCGTTCAATCATGGCCATTATGGAAAAGAGACGTCAGAAACGTCTTAAATAACGATTCGTCTACATGATTGAAAATATTTCTTTGAGGGAAACTCTCTTTCGAACGGGGATATCTTTCAATGCCTTGGCCAAGCTATTCCACGTCAAATCTCGAACCGGAAAACCTCATATTTCTTAGTTTCTTTCACCCTGTTCAGCATTTATCGATAGCCTCTACCTACCGGTGTTCCTTGAGAAATCAATTCCAAGGGAAATCGAATGATTTCTTACGGAAAGAAATATTGTATCGCGCGTACGGTTTGAATATTTCCGGATCAATGGAAAAATATTCGATTTGAAAATATGATAAATATCTTGGAATATTTAATAAAGTCCAATTATATCAGTGATTTTCAAGCGCCTTCAACGCGTTAATTTACCGGTTAATTTTCTTTCCAATGCGTTTCAACGAAAGCTGATAAGAGGAGTTTACATACTTGATAAGCTGGCTTATGTCAGCGGGAATCTTCTCAATTTTGTTGTCTGAGAGATTGAGGTAGGTTAACTCCCTAAGCTCCAGTAACTCTCGTGGAATTTTCATCAACTCGTTGCTCTCCAAATGAAGTGCACGAAGTTTCGGGAACCTGTATTAAAAAGAACACAATCAATTTCCTATAAATTCAAATAATACAACCCCTTCGAACCTTTACTGTCTCGTATCGTACCGGTGTAACAGTATCAGATTGTTGTTCGTGTTTGTAAGTTGATTCTGGCTTAACACCAATTCTTCAATAGCTGGAAACGCTATGGCACTGTCAGGAACTCTTGACAGACCACCATTGCTCAGATCCAATTGTTTTGGACAGGATGACAACTGTATAGCCTGTAACAGACAGTGCAGAATGCTGTTAGCGTGATAGAATTAAATTAAAATTGATTTTCAGGGTATTGTTTGCTTGATTAATGGCAAACATATTAACCCTTTCCATTTTGGGGATAAAAGTTAATGGACAGATGGTTCAATGAAAAATTACTTCAATTTTCTTCAATATTTTTAAGATTAAAAAGTACTGACAGATAAAATTTTGGCGTTTTTAATATAGGAATCTTTTTAAGGAAAAGGAAGGAATCTTTTCAATTGAAACCCAGTATAAATTGGAGAATCTCTTCTTTCTTTTTTTCTAGTATTGGAATACAAGTAAACAAGTCTCATTAAGGTTCATTACCTCGGACTCCAGGGAGTCGGTATCGATGGTGTCTTTATCAAAGTCACGTTCCTCCATAATGGCGATCAAATTCCCAAGACACACCATCTTTCGAGCATTCACCATCGATAATCATTTAATTCACTTTAGCACTTTTGTCACATTCAGCACTAATAATGATCGTTCAGTGATTTCACAGAAAGCATTCCCTTTTATAAACCAAGATCCGTAGGCCAGTTTTAAGTCCTCGTAGAATACAAAATAAATTTCTAACTTGCATTGCAAATTTTTTGAAAAATTATTTGATCAAAAATTAAAATTTTATTCGCAGCACTTTAACAATGGATCGAGCGACACGAAAGATTGTCTCGAATTGCAAACAATCGTATTTCAATCACGAATTTAATTATAAATCTCCCTTGCCTCCGTCAATTTATGTTTTCCATCAATGTGTATAAATTATAATTAAATTTCGTAGGGAATAACGATCGAAATGCGAATAAATATTTGAGAACGTTAATACAGACGTGTCGATTGATTTCATCGTGATTATCGATACAAAGTTGACACTGAGAAATATTCGTCGTTCGACTCGATCGATTGACGTCGAATAAATGATCGCGAGGATGAAAGAAGGACAGAGTAAAATTATTTTAACCGACGTAAAGTCTGGCTACAAGTTTGCTGGTTTCACTGTCGGAACCGATACTCGTGGAAAGTTTCGCGAAATTGCGGAACAACCAGTTTGCAAACATGAATTACGCGATCAATGATAAACACAGTTCCTACGGTTCGCGACGTACGCGCCTTATGAAAATGCAGTTGCATTCGAGCGAAAACTGTATTCTTACCATCTGTTTCGTGCGATTCTTTCAGAAATCCTTTTGCTGCAATTTCTGAGCATTGCAGAGTGAAAAATAAAATAGAAAAATTGAAAATTAGAGAATTTTATATCATTCATTAATTCAATTTTTTCATTTCAATCAGTCATTTTTGATCAAAAATATTAACGAAGGGTTAATTATTTTATTCCGAGCTTTAATTCGATGTGACATTTGCGACACTTTTACTTTAGAATATTTATTATAATCATAATTGCGCGACAGCAGAGATATTGATTATAATTAATAATTTTATAAAGCCTCTAAAGGTAGCGCGATGAAATTATGATAATAACAAATGATGGCTCATTACGAGCCTGTTTAAATATCCACATTATCTGAAATGGTGCTGTGCATTTATTATGCGAATCAATGAAATCATGCATAAGATACCAGCGAAATTGTTATTACATTTCTGTACGTGCGTATTCATGAATTGAAAATAGATGTGAAAAATAATATTACCAGTTCATCGGTATGTAGAAAATTATACATTATTAAGCGTACTTTGTTATAACCAATGCGGTGGAAATTTTAATATAAAGTATTAATTCTGCTTGAAACCAATTATGATGTTTAATTATAATAACACATTTAATACCATGCTGGTCAGAAGCATAAATTGAAACTAATTTTTTCTTCAAAGTGGAGAATTTAAATTTAAATAATTGTAATAATTTTTCTAATGTTTAATTACTAAGGAAATTCAAATATACTTCAATAATAAATAAACAACGAAGGAAACGGATCTGTAATCTTCGAAACTCGTCTGTTACACTTGAAAAGTAGCCTCTAAAGTTTAAAGTAGATTCACCCAGAGTGAAAAGTTAACTTCACCCAAGTTACAGCTAATGCTGTCTAAGATTTCCGGAAGTAAGTTGAAGAAGTCGTTATACATATGTCTCGCCAGTTGCTTTGAATAGATACCTGAGACATTGCAAAATACTCGGAGTATCTTAAATAATAATTTCATTTCATGTTTCAAATATAATTAACATTGATCAATTTAAATGTCATCTATATTGAGATTATAGAATATAGACTGTTTGACGACGTTCTTAGCACATTTCCGGTTGTGACACGAGTGTCTGTCACTGAGAAACAAAATGGTTAATGACACACGTATCGCATTCGCTGAAAAGTGTCCACGACGTCGTAAAAACGTGGTAAAGCGTCGTTTCCAACTAACAGCGGACTCGTTTCTTGTGTTTCCTGCTGTGCTAAGGACGACGGGAAGAAGAGAAGCTTCGCTCGTTCGTGTTCCTCGATTCTGGCTAACGAGAGAAGCAACTTTTCTTAGCGAACTTCAACCCGATAAAGTGGCTTTCAATACATGACAGAAAAGTTTCATGACTTCGCTCGATATACGTCCCATGAGAACTGCTACTTCCCTCTGATAAATTTTATTAATGGATATCGTGCATTTTGTAGCAGTTTCCGTATACAGGAATCATTTCCGTCGACGTTAAAAAGGGTAGATCTTGGAATGAAAAATCAATTAAAAATAAGAAAAATTAATCATATTCGATATTTATGCCTTTGAAATTTTTTAAATTGAAAAATAATATCTTTAATTATATTTTCATTTGTTAATTGGTTCTTACTATTTATCAAAAAACTTGCTAAAATTTTAATAGTAAATATTCTTTGATAATGGATCACTCGAACATTCGTTATAAAGGGTAGAGAAACGCATGTAGATTTAACAATGAAAAATCAATTAAAAATAAGAATAATTAGTCTTTTTTTATATTTATGCCTTTGAAATTATTTTAACTGAAAAATATTATTTTTAATTATATTTTCATTTGTTAATTGGTTCTTACTATTTATCAAAAAATTTTAATAGTAAATATTAAAAAGATGAAACCATGTTTCTTTCATAACGGATCACTCGAACATTCGTTAAAAAAGGTAGAGAAACGCATGTAGATTTGACAATGAAAAATCAATTAAAAATAAGAATAATTAGTCTTTTTTGATATTTATGCCTTTGAAATTATTTTAACTGGAAAATAATATTTTTAATTATACTTTCATTTGTTAATTGGTTCTTCCTATTTGTCAAAAAGCTTGCTAAAATTTGAATACTAAATATTAAAAAGATGAAACCGTGTTTCTTTCATAACGGGTCACTCGAACATTCGTCGGAAATCTGAATAGATGCGTTAAAGTAGCCTTAATTAGTTAATTAATTACGCGGTCAGCAGACACCGGGCAAAACAATCTGTTGTAACGAGTTGCGTCAGAAGGAACGCGGTTTCCGTTATTTCTACCTTCACCCGTTTAGGAAGGCTTGCTCGAATGCCCATTATCCTAGCGTAATTTCGTGCCAGCCACATTCATTTGATTAGCAATGGCAACGATAACCATAATACGGAACGGAGATAACTATGATCACGGGAACGACGAAGGGGTTGTTTCGCATAATCGATTCCATGCTCTCTACGATCCGATAATTTCCCGGTTAACTGCGAAGATCGTTCATGGACGATTAAAGGAGTTACAAATAAATGGTACTTATTCAAAGGTAATGATCCATCGCGAAGAAGAAATCTCAAATTAAAAAAATCATAAATCACCCTATTATTTATATCGCGAACCCATCTTTCATTGAAAAACCACCAACACACCGAACAGCTAAAAAACACTTTTGTCTCATCCTGTCCACATTTTCACACCCCCCATCAACCCTATCAATCATCCATTTTGTCATCCACGAATCGCATCGGCACTCGCGTTCGCGATATCGATTTCGCAAGTTCGACTGAAAACCTCGTTTCCGCTGTGCGATTCGTCGCGACGACGGTTCAGAAACGTCTCCGAACGAGTCCAGGTACCGTCTCGAGTATTCGCCGGATGCGAGGCATTATTCATGACCGGGGACAGAATCGTCACTGAGGAGCCCAAGAGTTTGTCGCGTGTCTTGGCCTCCCGTGAAACCGGAAGAACACGCTCAGCTGGCCACGGCCCTGCAACCTGTTCGCCGCCGTTCCGCCGCGACGAGGATCAAACGATTCCGAGCGTTTTAACGGGCACGTGTTGGAAACGGTACCTCTAGTATTTGTCTCACAAGGGAATGGTCAAAATTGGATGGTAGAGTTGCAGGAAACGAGGAGTTTATGGTGCAATTTTTTGGGTGCCATTGGCAACGGGTTAGAAAATTATGGGACTTTGAAATTTTCATATTTTTAAGTGTAAATGCCAGGTGCCAATTTTCCCTGAAATTCATCTTAATTGTTAGTAAACATCATCTAATCATCTGAATTCTCATTTTTTTCGATTTCTCATGTTTTCTAATCATTTGCACTTAAAACCAGCAAAATTTCCGAAAGAAAAAAAGTCGCTCTTCTCTTGATTGGGAAAGTCAAAATCCGTTTCTTTATGGTGATCTTCTTGTATCCATTTGCTCAGAAACATGCTTTTCATGGTTCTGACTAGTTATGGGGAATTTCATTGAATTTTGACAAAGTCGAAATTCCAACTTTGGATGTTCATATCTCAGGAACTAAAAGAGGCTACCAAATAATATTGCAGGTGGTTACTGAGGGGGTCAAGGTCTACCATCACACCAGGTTTGGTCAAGATCGCAGGTATCGGGACACGCTGTAGCGATATATTTTAGTCCCCCTGATTTTTTTCCGGAAGGAAAAATCAAGAGAAGAGCGAATATGAAAATTTTGCCAGTTGCCAATGGCACCCAAAAATTGCACCATAAACTCCTCGTTTCGTGCTCCTTCGAATAAACATAAACACTTTTGACCATTCCCTTGTCATCTGCTTCTTCCTCTGTTTTC